CAGTGGATTGGTAGCCATAAATATATTTTGCTGTACAAATTGACGTTTTCATATGGGGTCAGGCAAAAAGAGTTGAATGACTATCGTGCACATATGCCGAGGAATAATACTATGTAGAAAACATGTTATGTGCCAACAAATCAAAATTGATTTATAGCTATCCTATCGTAACAGGACGTTCAAAGTAAGCGAGGTACAGTATTTAACGAACGGTTTTACTAGTCGCACTCCCCTAATCAGTTTCTACCGCCGAGTGGGGAACCCAGCTCTCTTGAGTTCTGGTCCAGCGCTGTAAGACTGGAGGGGAGAGTAAAGTTCCTCTCACGGGAGTGCCGTCCCTCCCACTCACTGCCGACAAGGAGATCCAGACCCTGCCGATTCCCCCTCCCAGGAAGATAAGACCACCTGGACCAGACCTGGGGAAGACAGAGGAGAATCTGAAGGGGTTAACAGTCCAAGAGACTGGGACTGTTTTGGCGGGAACTGAACAGAAGCCATGGGTGGAGGTAGAGGCGGGTCTGGCAGATATAAAGAGGGGAGAAGAGGTTTTGCTGCCAGGTTGGGAATGGATTTGGTTAGAAGATCTATGGACAGGAAAGGTAGAAAAGCTTTGGATCCCAAAAGAGGAGGCGGATGCCCAGAGAAGGAGAGAAGCTACCCCTAAATCTTCTTATTGGGGTGAAAAAGAGACTAAGGAGTGGAGAAGGAAATTGAAGGAAGAGAAGGAGAAAGTCGAGAGAGAAAAGAGAGCAAATGGAATGGAAGGTGAGGGAGATGCAAGCGATGGGATACCGGGAGGGGGACCTTTGCAGATATACACCCCCTCGAGAGAGAGCTGGCCTGGCTGGATTAACGAGATGAAGGCACCATCCCCTTATTGGAGGGGGAGACCCGACCGATATTGAACCTGGGTTCATCCCCAGATTGGCTGGGATCTTGGAATATGCAAGGGGGGAACTCCTTTAAGGTTGCCGATTGGAAGCCCCTATCTAACCCATTGTTGGAAGGTGAAAAAGGTTGGAATACATTTCCTAACACTGGTTTCTTGTTAAACAATGCAATAAATGTCACACCAATTTCAAAATCTTGCGTGTCTGTTGATTTATTTGAAACAAAGCAGGAGCTTGGAGCTGAACCCTCACAATCACTCTATCCACTACTCCACACTTCGTACATATACACATGTCCATCTGGCATACTAACAAAAGAAGAGATGGAACATTAAACATTCAAAAATTCTGTTTTTATGGTAATATATATTATTTTTTTCTTCCTTATCAGGGAAATTTTGGCAAAACCTTTTAGCACATTCTGTTTGCTTTTTCCCCCCAAAACATAATCTGTCGAGAAGGGTAGACTGTATTAATGGTCATAAGTTATCTCACACTTGCTATTTAAGGTCACCTTTAATAATAGTCTTCATTATGCATCCTTAATAATAGTCAGTGGATCTTTTTATCAATTTAATGCATGAAAATGTAACATTGGTATGCTATCTAGTCTCTTCCAGAAAAGATGGCAAGTGGTGGCTTCCTTCAACAATAACAAAGTGGGAGGATTTAGAAGAAGTAACTGTGTTAGTCTGTGCAAGCTTATCAGGCAAAATCCAAAGAAATAAAACAAAACAAAAGGACAAAAACATGTGGCACTTTAAAGATTAACTATTGTATTTTAATGTAAGCTTTTGTGGACAGTCCAAGTGGGAAGGGAGGGAACTAAATGTATTGTGACATGTGGGGAAGAATAATATATAATTTTGTGTGTGTGAAAAATGGAGACATTATTGGAAGTATTTCTCTTTGATGACTTGATGGCTATGCATTATCTTCATCTTTATTGTGGTATGTTAAGAGATTTTGTAGTGAGGGAGTGATAGCAATCCAGTGTTTATCATCTACCAACTGATCCAGTGTGACACTTGTGCTCAAAAATCTAAAGTGCTGGGAGAACAAGTCCTTTGTTTGTCCACCTGCTCTGCTGAACATATAATGTGCAGCTATTTATTTATTTTTAAATAGACCTGCACAGCCCTAATCCAGACTGTGATCTGAGCAGATGGGCAAAGGAGGATTAGAACTTCCTCCCACTTGGCTTTGAGCTGAACTAGCGCCACCTCCCTAAGGTTAAACAAAAGGAAGGGGAACGCCCTTTGGCACCAGGGAAGGCTTTGCTGATGGCTTGTCTCAGAAGAGATAGAACAAAACTTCTGCCACCTTCATTAGCATAAAGACAGCCTCTCTAGTAGACACAAACTTCCTTATTTTCTGTGCAGTCAGATATAATAATATAATTGCACACTATCAAGTCAGCTGCCCTATATGGCGACCCTCTTCAGGGTTTTCTAAGTAGAATAATCAGAAGTGGCTCACCATTCCTTGTTTTGGGAGTTCTCTGGGTCTGTGCAACTTGCCCAGGGCTGCACAGGCTGGCTTTTCTTTTGGGACTCGTAACTTCTGACTCAGCTGCTAAATACTGTACCTAAGTAGCACCAAGTTAAAGGAAACTTATTCCCAAGTAACTGTTAATAGGATTGCAATCATACTGAATCTAATAAAGATAATACTGCTACAACGGTTCCCTCTGCTACATGTGTCTGTGTGTCTGCACGCACATACTTTTGTTGCAGGTGGTAATCAGTCCTCTTTGCCATGGCTTCTGCCAGCATTTCCCCTCAGGCATGACTACGGGCACCTCTCTGCTACATGTGTGTCTGTGTGTCTGCACGCACATACTTTTGTTGCAGGTGGTAATCAGTCCTCTTTGCTATGGCTTCTGCCAGCATTTCCCCTATGTCTACAGGCATCCAGTTTACACTCCTCAAGTCTGCCTGGCACATTGTAGCTTATTCAGAGTCCTGATGATTAATTCAGATGAGCAAGGATTTCTGGGGAGAGGGGGATTGGTGGCAGTGTTGGTGGTTTAGCTACTCAGCTCCTTATCTATTCAAAATCTCAAGCTTTTCAGAAGTCTTTAAGCCATGCTTGCAGCTGGGTTATTCTCTAAGATGACGGTGTGCTACAGGATGGATGCTTCTGCCTGAGAGGTCACTTTGCATTAGTTGCCAAATAGGTTTGGTTTGACCTGTGTTTTCTATGGGAGCATGTCTTTAGGAAGAATCTGAAAACATAGTGATAGATGTTTTGTAGGCTATTTTGTTAGGCTGCTAAGGGAGGGAACAGGATCCCAAAACTAGGATTGTTGCCAAGGATGAAGCTTTCTTTGTAAAAATAATGAAAGCACAGATGTCCAAGAACTAGAGATGCATAATTTTGCACCCAGTGCCAGCTTGGAGAAGATGTACAGGCCTTGCTTGCTTGCCTATTTCTCCCACCTTTGATGCAGAATAGAGAGCACAGATGTCCAAGAACTAGAGATGCATAATTTTGCACCCAGTGCCAACTTGGAGAAGATGTACAGGCCTTGCTGTGGCATTTTTGCTTGCCTATTTCTCTCACCTTTGATGCAGAATACTGTAGAGATACAGTTGGATTGACTTCTTGGGACTTCTTGACAGCTTGTAAGCCGCCTAGAGTGGTCACAACTGACTAGATAGGCGGGGTATAAATGAAATAAATAAAAAAAATAAAATAAAGTTGGATTGACTTCTTGGGCATCATCGAGAAAGTTAAAAGGGAACCTGATAAAATTAGCAAAATACTTATCCTCACTATTATGGTGTTTCTTTATACCAGCTTCATTGCTGCTTCAGACTGGCTAGCTTTGTCTGCTAGGAACATCCTAGGAACAGGCACCTTTATATCCTGAAGTGAACAAAAACCAGCTAACGAACTGCAAACGCCTCACAAATCTTATTTTCTTTTCACATGAGCTGGTAACTCAAGGTGTGACAAATAATCTGTCAAGCCCAATCCATTGTTATTGTTACCTAAGGGTCACCCTATGAATTAACAACCTCCAAAATGTCATGTCGTCAACATCCCTGCTCAACTCTTGTGAACTCAAACCTGTGATTTCCTTTCGGGAGTGAATCCATCTTGTATCTGGTCTTCATCTGTTCCTGCTGCCTTCAACCTTTCCTAACATTGTTGTCCAGGATTCCAGCTGAATAATTTACTCAGTAATAAATGCTGCTTTGTTTGATTAGTTCTTGCTCTTAAGTACACAGAGGAAGGGCTGCACCCGCAAATCCCCCTGCACCACTGCCAAAATATCTAAGCTCGGGTGTCTGATTTTCTGATCCCAAGACACGGACTTCGGGGTTTAAATCTAAGACTTCCCTTGTTATTTGCCCCCAAATAGGTTCTTCCAAGCAGAACATGGAAAAACTGCTTTGTTGGTCTATGTCTCCCAGAATCCCCAGGAGTTAGTTCAGCAAAATAACTTTTTTCAGGGTCTGAATAGTATACTGGAAGAAACAAGTCTATGTGCTGGATCCAGAGCAGGAATGCAGGGTTGCCCAGCTTCCTCTTAGCCTACCCTAGAGTTATGCTCAGCCTTACCATATCTCAGTACGTATTTAACCTTTCTCTTTTGCTGGTTATCTAAAAGGACCATAGAAATATTTAGTTAAAAAATTATTTTAAAAACAATTACAGGCCGATGCTTTAAACAGCCTAAGGCAAGCTTCTTAAAAACCCCTCAAGAGTTTTTGTTAGATGTTGCCTCTCTGGCCACTCTGAGGTGGCTGCTTAAGGGGGGAATGATGGCCCAGCCAGAGCGGGTCCTATTTCCCTCAAGAGATGAAATCCCACCTCAGGGTTTGTCTAGTAGGCCACCCGCCGGTCTCCTTCAGAAGTGGGACTGCTTTCCCGCCTTTTTCCCTTCCCCAGACACAAGGCGGGCGGGAAAGGGTTAAGAGACGGCATGGCGGCGGGGGAGGAGATGGTGTGCTTGTCCTCCCTTATCAGCCCTGGAGTGAAGGCAGGTTAAAGAATGACTTTAACCTCTCTGGTGGTGAGGAGGAGGAAATGTCACATGGCGGAAGGTGGCGGAGGGGGGGGGGCGCCGGCGGTGGTGAGGCGAGAGGAGAAGTAACTGTGGGTCATCCCCCCCCCCAGGCGTTGGTCTCTCCGTTACAGTCAGTTTTTCTGCTTCTGTCCTCCCCCCAATGGGGCAGGAAGAGGCGGCCCCCACCCCATTTCCCCTTCGCAGCTCCTGATAAAAATGACCCCCTGGGCAGGAGAGGTGCTTCAGTCGGCGGGGCATGGCAGACACGCCTCGCAGCGAGCGGTGCTGAGTTAGCAACATCCCAGCGCGACGACCCTGACCGACGCCTCCATCCATCCTCTGTCGGGGCAAGAGCCGCGATCCAGTCCAGCGGACGGTAAGTCTCTGGCAGCCTCGAGGGCGACTTCGCCGCCAGAACCAAATGCTTTTCCTTTCTATTTCTACTAGCCGGCTTTTCCGTTTGTAGCTCTTTCCTGATCTCGCCCTTGAGCCTCGATCTACTTTTCCCAAGGAGAAACACAACAGGTGGACCTGTTCACGTTTTACAGAGACGGGGGGAAAAGTTACTTTTTTGGACTACATCTGCCAGAATCTCACAGGTAGCCATGGCCACTGGTTGGAGTTCCCAAAGAATTTTCCTCATTTCTGACAATTTTCAGATTCCAGCTGATTTCTGAGAGCTAGTCCCATACCTGAATAAAGGTGTGTGGTGTGCGTGTGTGTGTGTGATTTTGGCTGGATGATGGCCAGTATAATACAATCTGAAAACATCGATTGATGAGTATAAAATACATAAGTAAACGTAGACGAAAGCATATTAGTGTAGTTAAGTAATAGTGAGATAGAAGTCATAAGCAGGCTTTTGTAAATAAAACTTAAGACTTGGGAGGACCAACTTTTGCATACCAGATATCTAAGAGTAAATAGCATATGAAAAGCAAGCAATATTGGATGTTTAAAGTATAGTATTTAAAGTAATTGGGACAGTAACCTTGTGCCCCATAGATATTTATTCCCACATACCCCCCTCCAAATACAGTGGGATTTACTGCCAAACAAAGAAGTGAACACAAGGGGGAAATTGCTGAGCAACATAATTTTTTTCAACAGTTCTGTTGTGCAGTTTCAAACAATGTTGTGCTGTATTTCTTTAAATTAGAGGTGAGCCAAGCATGAACCAATTTTGCCATCTAAAATGTAGCCAAGAATTTGATATATCCAGAAGTTCCCACCATGAAAGCAAGAATGCTTTATTCTGTATCACTCTGTAGCTTCAGGGTATGGACAGAATTGTTCTCAATTCAAATATGCCCCTAATAAGAAATAGCATACTTTATGAATTCAAAGTAAAGGATATCCTTCTTTATTTATTGTTTTTTTATTGCAGACATCTTGTTATTGAACAGATGTATGGAACAGCCCTGTGTCCCTTTGTGTGGATTTTTTTCAGTTTGACTTGTGTAATACAGGTTTTTCAATACAGTGGACCCTCAACTTATGGAATTAATCCGTATTGGAACGGTGGCTGCAGGTCGAAAAGTCTGTAAGTCGAGGCTCCATTGACCTACAATGCATTGAAAACTGATTAATCCGTAACCGACCGTTTTTGTTCCATTTTTGGGTTTTTTCGGGTCTGTAGGTTGGTTCTCCGACTGCAAGTCGAACCTAAATTTTGTGGCCAGAGAAGTCTGTAACTCGAAAAGTCTGTAAGCGGAGCCGTCTGTAAGTCGAGGGTCCACTGTATTCTCTCTGATCCTGTAGTTGCTTATGGCTCAGTTAATGGATCAGTATGCTCAGAAACTTTGGGCATTCACCTTTGCCCCTATTTAAACCACAAATGATAACTAGCGAGCCAGAGAACTGGTAGAAAAAGCTCCCAGTCCTAAAAATGTCAGTCTTGGAGGTGGACTCATTCACAGATAGAATGTGTTGTATCTGAGAAATATCTTCCAGACAGACGGAAAATGCAAAGCATTGTGAAAAAGAATATCTGTCTTCTCTCTTTTCAATCATCAGACCTGCCTTAGACGCTGCCCTAAATACTACAAAATCTCGAGGTAATGATTTGTTTTTGTTGACATTTGGATTTACTTGATCTATCATCTGTTGGTATAGAAGACAAGCAAAAGATGAAAAGAAAGAAAAAGCTGTGTCATCCTTGTACACAATCTCAATGGAAGGCTAATTATAACCTTATTAAAATATTGCAGGCATAAGCCACCTTTCAACCCCACAAGGATGTGCACCACAGAGCTGGAGATGGTGCAGGAGAAACACAAACATCTGAAAAATCAGGGCTAGATTTTGGGCCAGTCATCTCTTATTACAGCAAGTTTCAAAATGGGGGCTGTAGACTCTGGTCAGAGGTGTCGGTTTCAGACTTCGCCTCTGGTGTTGTGGATTTGAATGTCTCTCGCAATTTTGTTAGATAGAGGGCAAAACCAAGACAAAGGAAAAAAATAGTGTAGCATTTTAAAGATTAACAGTTTTATTTCAGTGAGTTTTCATGGATCAGATCCACTTTCTCAGACCTGCAATACAAATATATGATCTAAATATTGATGTGCATCCCCAGCCACAGAACTCACTGGAGGAGTGGAACTGGTATAACCACTCCTTAAATATCTCACTTACCTTGAAAGCCTTATTAGGGTCATTTGGACTTGACAGTGGATAACAGTAACAACAACCAAGACCAGGTGAGGATACAGACAAGAGACAAAGTGATTATCTGGAATTATCAAGGTGATAATTACTTCAGTTAGCAGGTTCTGTCCTGGCCAATAGTTGTAGGCCAGGTACTTGGCTGTATCTGTAAATATATCATCTTTCTGTCTCATATCTCTGCCCATATCACAACTTTGTCCTGTACTACATAGCAAAGGCAATATAATCCTATGCATACTTTCCTGAAAGCATGTCCGACTGAACACAGTTGGGATTAGAGATGCATAGGTTTTCACTGTAAATGACAACAGACTGTTAATTTAATCTTAAATTGAACAATGATAATCTTTTCAACATAGTGTCTGACTGATAACTACATAATCATGTAAATTACCTTTTCTCAGGTGACATGAAGCTTGAATTACAATTTTCTCTGTGTGTGTGTGTGTGCGCGTGTGCGTGTGTGAGTGAATGGGAGAAAACACATTAACCACATTCATTTGATTGTTTACAGAGGTTAGTTGCTTATAGTACAATTCTGTACATATTCACCTAGAAGTAATTGACCAGTGGTACTTCTAGGCAACAGATGTAGATTGCATGTGAAATCTCGTCAAGCAGACTGGCAGCAAGATTAAAATCTTGGAGGGAGAATCAAGTTCAACTTTTTATATCTAATTAAGATCAACTAGAAATGATGTATTAGAATTAAAGGTAGTCTTAACATAATTCCTAAGAGAATACTGAGAAAACAAATTGTTCCTGATTCATTGCAATTCCGTGAACTAAGGACCTGCAAAAGACCGTGATTACTTTATTGAGTGAGTCAACCCAACTCATGTTCAGTCTTCTTCTTTTCCTACTTTTTCCCACTTTTTCTAGCATTATTGTCTTTTTCAGTGATTCTTACTTTTTCATGAGATTTCCAAAGTGCAATACCTTCTGTTTAATTATTTAAGCTTTTAGTGAGAATTCAGGCTTTATTTGATCTAACCCATTTATTTGTCTTTTTAATGATCCATTATACCTATAAATCACTCTTCTAGCACAATATTTCAAATGAATTTATTCCCCCTTGCCCCCACTGTCAGCTTTTTTCATGGTCTAGCTTTCATATCCTTACATAGGAATACGTATGGAATACATTTTATGTAGCTTGGTATTGGTCTTGAAAGAAACATTTTACACTTAAATTATCTTTCCTAGTTTCTTCATAGCCATGCTTCAAATTCTCAGTATTGTTCTGATTTCTTGGTGGCAGTCTCTATCCTGATCAGTGGTTGAACCAGTGAGTTAACTCTTTAATATGTGTGATATCTTCAGTGTCAGCATAGAAGTTAAAAAATTCTTCTATAATAATTATTTTTTCTTCTAATGTTCAACTGTAACCCAACTTCTTAATGTTCTTCTTTCACCTTCACACGTGGTTCTTCTTTCACCTTCACATGTGGTTGGTATTATCTTACACCTTTGCCTGTAGGAAACCATGCTGTTTCTCTATATTCTGTCCTAACAGTAGTCACATGTCCAGAATATAGTTTATGCAATAGGACAATCAAATATTGTTGCACACCGCTTTTTTTTAAAGAAATCCATACCTTTCAATAATATTCAAAGGCTTTGCGGTAGTTTATGGAGCACAAATGGATTTTCCTCTAGAATGCTATGAAGTACTCCAGTAGTCAATATATATTTGCAATATGACCTCTGGACCCTCTTCCTTTTCTTGAACATCTGCATTTCTTACTTCATATATTGAAAAGTCTGTTGTAAAATCTTGCGCATCAGTTTACTTGCATAGAAAATTAATGTGCTGATCCTATAGTTACTGCAGACTTTGGCACTGCCTTGCTTTGCAGCTGGAATATATATTCAGCGTTTCCAGTCTGAGGGAAACTGTTTTGTTTTCCTATTTTTTAATGTATTCTTGTTGACATCTTGAGGGATACAGTTTTATAGCCTGAATTAGCTCTTGGTATCCCGCCTCCTATTTGTTTCTTCCAATTGTTTTGAGAGCAGCTTTCACTTTACTTTCTAAAATTGTAGATTTTCATTAAAAAAAGTATTCCATCATAATTTCACCTCTTTTGTACAACTGAAAAAAGATAGAACACAGAAGATAGATTCCATTTTCTCTTTATTTTATCCTGTTGACTTCTCAACATTTCTCATATTGGTCTAAATTTCCCTTTGATTTCTTGGGTCTTAAGGAGAACATATCTTGTTTTCCTTTTTAATTTTTGTTTTGTTTTTGGTCATCCTCTTCTATTTGTTTGCAATGATTGTTTCAATAATTTCTTTGTTCCTGTGTGGGAAGGGCTCAAAAAGTGCATCAGAATTGGATTCTGATGCTATTTCTGTCAGCTTTTGCTTTTGCCACTCTTCTGTCATTATTAATTTTAAGAGTTTCTTCAGTCAACTATCATATTTTTTCTTTCCTTTTGGCTACAGGAATAGTCTGTCATTCTTCACTGATAACATCTCTGTTCTTATTTCACAACTCTTGTTTGTGGTCATTTGATTCTAGTAATAATAAGTTCTTTACATAGTCTTTAAATTTATCATAAAAGCTATTTTAATTGTACTTTGGAACTATAATTCTTTACTCTGACAGTTCATGATCTGTATCATGCCCATTCCTGGTCTTGTTTCTGCAGAGGTAACACAGCATAGAGCCTCTCTGCTTTTCTTTCCAAATATATAGTCTTTTTGGCTTCCATATTGACCATGTGTGTTGCCTGAAGCATATATTTGCAATAAACAAACTATTGACGTCACAGAATTCTATGAATCACTCACTCACCTGCTTTGTTTTTAACTCCTAGGCCAAATTCTTCAATATCCTGTATAAGATTTCATCCTCTTCTATTTAATTTCTTGTTCTTCAGCATCAGTATTTGAGGCAGAGGAATGAATGGTGGTTATGTTGATAAGTTTTCACTGATGACTTCACGTTATATTCTCTTAACTGCTTCTTATATGTCCCTTGACGCTGTCACAAGCATATCATTTCTTCTGGACTTTTTATTCAAAAGTAAAACAATAATAATTGGATTGAAAATGTCCTGTTTCAATCTTATTTAGTTCACTCATGAGTGTTGCAATGTTTAAACATTCCATTCCTTCTTTTATGATTTCAAGCTTATCTTGGTCCATATGCCTCACATGCTGTGTTCTAGTTGCATGTGACATGCAGAATTAGGCTTTCTTTTTGCATCTGCATGCATCAGCAAGTACTGTAGATTTCGTTTCAGCTTTAATCCAGCATGTAGCTTTATTAGCAATGGCACTATTCTTGTGTATTCTTTGTTCTTCTCCAATAGCTGAAGGAGAGTCTTGTTTTTATTGTCTTATCATAAGGTTTATAGAGTATAAGTATTCAAAAGTACTTTGTCATTGCTGCCTTCTGTGCAATACTAACAGGAGTTAGCATGAATGTCACTGATCTTGTCTATGAACAATCTGCCACTAGAGTCACCTTTCACTGCTACTGCTGTCTGCTATCTGTAAGAATTTTTCCGATCCCCATTACTGAAACTATCAGTAATGCCTAATACTACTCTTAATTCCTGAAGAGGATGGCCACACCTTAGTCTAGTGCCCCAGCTTTGGTCATTCTAGGTTGGGTGGCCTTGTTGAGAGTCCACTGTCAATACTACTCTTAATTCCTGAAGAGGATGGACACATCTTAGTCTGGTGCCCCAGCTTTGGTCATTCTTGGTTGGGTGGCCTTGTTGGGAGTCCACTGTCATAATGGTACAGTATTGCTCTCAGCTTCCATGATACACTCCCCCCCCCCTTTACCATGTTAAGGTGAGCATCCAAGACAAGGTGAAGATGCAACAATGAGGTAAAATCATTTATCTTACTGCACCATCTGATGGTCAAGAAAGCATTGCAATTTTCCAAACATCTAGGGGTTTCAGTGCTGAAATGGGATAAAAGTTTTTATTTCAGAAGTGGACATGAAACTGTTCATCGGGTAGAATTCAGGGAAGGAGTAGAGGACTAATACCGCAAACAGATTTTTGGCTGGCATTTCTCATCTAATCCCCATGTGTTTGCCTGCCTGCCTGTCTACCTCTTCATTTATATAAGAAGAAATTTTCGGGTTCAGACCAAAGATCTACGCAATCCAGTACTCTGCTTACATTGGCCCATTGGATGCCTGTAGGAAGCAGGCCATGTGTATGCTAGCGCTCCTGTGCTTCCCAGAGACATCATGATACTGCTGGACATTAATATCCAGAAAGCTCAGATGCCATTGTCAGCTTTATCCTCCATGACAAACACCTTTGGTTCCACCTGTTCCTTCACTTTCAGATGACGAGCTTCCTGCTCCTCTTGGGCCTGGGCCTGGCTGCCCCACCAACCGTTCATGCTGCCTCCTCCTCTTTGCGCTTCATTGCTGTGGGGGATTGGGGTGGAGTCCCCAACGCACCTTTCTATACAGCTCGGGAGGCTGCCGTGGCCCAGGAGATGGGACGGACGGTGGCTTCACTGGGAGCTGATTTCATCTTGTCCCTTGGAGACAACTTCTACTACAGTGGGGTTAACGATGTCTATGACAAACGCTTTCAGGTAAGGACATGAGAAGGTGGGGATGCCATTGTGACTCCCTGATAGGAGGACTCAGAATAAGAGCAAATTGAATCTTAATTGTTGCTGAGTTGACTTTATGTTTCCCAATGTAAGTTGCTTGTCTGGAGCTCAGTACTAAAACCAATAACAACACAATGCAAAAATCCCAAGCAACTTAAGCCAGTTTATTTTTTTCAAGTGCAAAGTGAGATTCTAGCCGGAATATATGATTATGTTCCCCCCTAGATGATTTTTGCCTATCTTATCCCTGTTAGCCTTCATAGTGTAGGCAGTAGTGAAGGATGACAGGCACTGCATTCAAAACATGTAGAGGGCCTGCATTGCAAACCCATGAACTAGAACATTGGGCCCTGGACTTGGGGTGTGTGCCTTGTAAGAGAATGTGAAGAAACTCTATGGGCAACAAAAGACTATGAGGTTTTCATGACGTGAGAAATATTTTTATCAGGGTAGGTAAACAAATTTATATAACATAGGTTTAGTAGTACTTAAGATTTCTCAAGAAAAACTGTGCTTTTTCAATATTTGTATTAGGCATTTATTAAGTTGTATTTATCTAAATTATGAGTAGAATATTTTGTTAACGGGGGATGGACTTTGGAAAGGTTGGAAAGCATGATGATTTCTCGAAAATCTAAAATAGGACATGATGCAGAAACATTTGGGAACCACTCTACAAGAGGGCACTTGAGAGATCTAGATATCATTTCTTCTTATACTAGAGTAAGCACAGGGGACCTGACTTATCTGAGGCCCCAAGCATGAGTGTCTTTAACTCCTGGCCCTTCGCCATGGTCTTGATCCATTTTGGGGGCCCTGCAGTTTTTATTGCCAAAAACAGATCTGCTGTACTTACTCTAGGTAGGTAAGGGGACTGGAATTGTGTGTGCTAGCTAAAGTATCCTCTGGTTTAAAGTAAGAAAGTCTTCACCAGCACAACTCTACAACAAGGAACCCTTCATGCAATGTCCTTGGTTTTGAGTTTCTTCAGAGTGTTCCCAGCACCATGCATGTCATGCATGTCAAGCTCAGAGCCTGCAAATTGTGAATTGTGGCTGCTCAGCGGGATTGAGCAAGATTAATGCTCGGATGGGAGACCACAAGGCTTGTGGTCCGGGACCTCTAGGTAGGGCTAGGAAACAATCCTGCCTGAATCCGTGAAGGCCCACTGCCAGTCTGTTGACAGAGTTAAGCTAAATAGAACCGGTGGTCTGATCTGGTATAAGGCTGCTCTTTGTGTTCCTGACCACTTTATCCCACTTGCACACTGGGCACTATAAAGATGAGGTTGATATTTTCCAGGTGGCGGGTTAAAGAAGCAAGAGGTTCTAAGAAAGCCTTTTTGAATAATTTTGAGACCTACATCAGAACCAAGCTAACCTGCAATGAAATAGCATGACTTTGTTTTGCTCTTTTTAATGGACAAACTTTTGAAACTGCCAGGCAAGATGTTATCAAAGCAAGATGGGTAAAGCCTGATATGATGGTGAAGTCACAGGGCCTGCTAGTCAGAGTCTGAGGATGGAGGCACAGACTGAAATGGTTTATCAATGGACAGGGTGAATAGCTTAACTAGGAATGACAGAGGGCAGGGAATAGTACAAATCATATTTGAGAGAATGGGGGATTAAAAGATAGGGGCAGTAAAAATAAAAGGCTTAAGCTGTTTGTAAATGGGGTAGTAACTGGAAACAAAGGGATGGTGTTAAGGAGAGAGTTCCCCATCCCCTTCATCCAATGGATGGGGAACCTGGAGATGGAATCAAAAGAACAAGTGAAAAGAGGGGATGGGATTTTGGATTATTCTCTCCCAGCAACCTTTGTTAACTTTGTGCTGCATAATAATGGCAGTGCCACCATTCAGAATCAAGCCTGTAGGTATGTAAACCAGGAAGGCAAAGGAAGTGAGTTGCAAGAGAACAACAGCAAGAAACAGACAGCAACAAGTAAGCCAAATGGGTCAGCAACCTTTGTGGGAACTGCTGACTTTGGTACTCCAAAATGATTGATTTGGGCAAATACTGTAACTGCATTACATTTGTGGGAACTGCTGACTTTGGTACTCCAGTCCAAATGATTGATTTGGGCAAATAACTGCACTACGTCCACCTGGGTGGATAGAGAGGAGACTTAGTTCAGGGAAGATAGGAAACAGAGTCATACAGTTACCCTGTTTCCATGAAAATAAGACAGGGCCTTATATTAATTTTTGCTCCAAAAAACGCATTAGGGCTTATTTTCAGGGGATGTTTTATTTTTTGTCATGTACAACCATTTACATTTATTCAAATACAGTCATGTCATCTTCTTCTGGTTGCTGCACCATGGTGGAGGGCGGGGTTCCACTTAACTAGGACTTATTTTGGGGGTAGGGCTTATATTACAAACATCCTGAAACATCATACTAGGGCTTATTTTCAGGTTAGGTCTTATTTTCGGGGAAACAGGGTAGCTTTAAAGGGCAATAGAAAAGGAGATTCTGATGATGATCATGTGGGGGCAAAAAAAATTTAAAAGAAAAGTAAATGTTCCATTAATAGTAGCATCTTACCCCAATCAAGAGAAGGAGTAGTATTGGCCTATTCTGCCTTGAGCAGACCTCCCTTGGAATACTATGTCCAGTTCTGGAGACTGTTTTTTTTTTTTTAAGAAGGATACTTGCAAGCTGGAATGTATCCAGTGGACGGTGTCTAGGATGGTAAAAGGTCTGCAAAAAACAAGCCATGTTAGGAATGGGTGAGGGAGCCGGGAGTGTTCAGCTTGAAGAAGAGAAGACTGAGGGATGTGACATAATAACCAGCTTCAAATATCTGAAGGGCTGTCGCGTAGAAAATGGAGCAAGCTTGTCTTCTGTAGCGCCAGAGAGTAGGATTCAAATGATAAGAAAAGAGATCTTGCCGGAACATTAGGAAGAGACAGTGGAATGGGCTGCCTCAGGAGACGGGCGGACTCGCCTTCACTGGACATTTTTAAACAGAGGTCAGATGGTGCTTTTCAGGGATAATTTAGCTGAGGCTTGCCCTGCTCACAGTGTCGAACTCGACGATATACAGTATAAGCTCCTTTCCAGCTCTCCAGTGCTGTGGTTCTATAGTTTTAATAATAGTGGGAGTAATAATTTGAAAAACTAGAAGTAGAGGCAGGGGGTAGGATAGAAAAGCTCTTGTTTGAGGATCTGAGGGTAAAGGCAAGAAGGTGACGGTTAAGCCAGAAATGAGAAGATAAGAAATGGCAGGAAATGAGTAAATTCAAGAGACATATGAAGGGCTGAAAGGCAAGGTGAAAAAACAAGCTTGCAAAATTTTGTCCCAAAATGAGGTGAGGTGACTCACAGCACCTCCGCAGACAACGTAGGTTGGTTTCTTAAGGCAAGCTAACTATGGATCTCTTTGCTTAAAAAAAACTATTGTGGCAAAGAGTTTAGGGGGATTATATATCATTAGAAAGGGATAGAATGACTTGCAATATTTTGCCAAACTCCCTCTCTGTCAGCTGGCATGTTGTAATTAACATTGCACAGTAATTTTCAGCTCTCAAGTAGGCTGTAGGTTTAGAAAGGTGTGGAACACAATCTGAAAGGGAAAAATGCTCCTGAAGGAAAAAAGGATAGGGAAGAAAGAGAGAGAGAAAAGTGGACTCATGTATCAGTTTTTTAAGTTACCAAGTAAGTAAGTGGTTGTCATGGCTAGTTAGGACACGGATTACTTTACTAACAGTACTATGTAGACTTGGAGTTGTTGCTCCAGAAAGCTGTTGCCTGCCTTTATTGTCAGTGAGGACATGACTGGAAGTCGTGCCAGTGATACTTTGGAGAACTCTTTCCCATCTGTTGCAGCCATACACAACTACAACCTTTCCTTTTCATTTTGCAGGAGACCTTTGAGTCCGTTTTCCAGGCACCTTCGTTGCGTAAGGTGCCCTGGTATGTCGTGGCTGGAAACCACGACCACTCAGGGAATGTCTCTGCACAGATTGCTTACACCAAGATCTCCAAGCGCTGGTAAGATCCCCCTGTCCTAAGCCTGTGAGGTCTGTCTTTTCCTGGTTTGCTTATGTTTCTGAAGATCTAGAAAGACACAGTAGCCAGAATCCTGTTAGTGACTTAGACTTGTGCAAGGAAAACCACATAGGTCACAGCACCAAAGGTGCTGGTTGTGTTCCTGTGTATGTTAATAGATAGCAATCTTCTGTCAGGACTTAACACAATTTCTTTACACAAACATAGGTAGGCCATCACTGTTCATAAGAGTGTCCTATCCCCTAAAGCTGTTTTGTCTGTTAAGCTAATTTTTGTTGTGATGTGCCCTCAAGTCGCCTCTGACTTAATGTTGACACTATGAATGAGTGATCTCCAGAAGGTCCTGCCCTCAACAGCTCCACTCAGCAATTGTAAACTCAAGTCTGTGGCTTCCTTCATGGAGTCAGTCAATCTCATATTTGGTCTTCCTCCTCTCCTGCTGCCTTCAGCTTTTCCCAGCATTATTTTTTCCCCCACAGAATCCTGCCTTCTCAAGAGGTGCCCAAAGTAGCTCAGCCTCAGTTTTGTCATTTTTGCCTCCAGAGGAAGTTCAGGCTTCATATAATCTAGGATAAACTCAAGTCTGTGGCTTCCTTCATGGAGTCAGTCAATCTCATATTTGGTCTTCCTCCTCTCCTGCTGCCTTCAGCTTTTCCCAGCATTATTTTTTCCCCCACAGAATCCTGCCTTCTCAAGAGGTGCCCAAAGTAGCTCAGCCTCAGTTTTGTCATTTTTGCCTCCAGAGGAAGTTCAGGCTTCATATGATCAAGGACCCACTTGCTTGTCTTTCTGGTTGTCTCTAGGGTGTCTGCAAAGCTCTCCTCCAACGCCATCTTTCAAACAAATCAATTTTCTTCCTGTCAGCTTTCTTCACTGTCTAGCTTTCACGTCTGTACATAATAACTGGGAATAGAAGAGTATGGATGATATTGGTCTTAATCTTCAGTGGCACATCCTTGCACTTGATTATCTTTCTAATTCCTTCATTACTGCCTTCCCGAGTCTCATGATTATCTTTCTAATTCCTTCATTGCTGCCTTCCCGACTCTCATTCTTCTTCTAATTTCTTTGCTGCAGTCTCCATTTGCATTGATGATTAAACCAAGGTATACAAAATCTCTATTTCAATTTCTTCATTGTCAATGTTAATGTTGTGTAGTTTTTCTGTAGTCATGATTTTTGTCTTAATATTCAGCTGCAATTCTGCTCTGGCACTTTATTTTTTCATGTTCCCTAACAGTTATTTCAATGCATTGCTGCTTTCAGTCAGTGAGATGATGTAATATCTTGAATTACTGATGTGTCTTCCACCAGTTTTCACTCCTACTGCATCTGAATCTAGCAAAGCTTTAGGTATATATTCTGCATACAGATTTAACATATAGGGAGATACTAAGCTTATGGAAGGGGGATAACCTGAAAGCTTCATTAATTTCAGATATGCTCTAAACGTCAAACAACTAAGTCTGAACTGTCCTTCTTAAGAAAGAAACTTACCTTGATCAACATATTTGATCAAGGTAAGAGGGCACCTACACAGAAGTTTGTGACATTCTTTATTTATCCATTTTGCAACACACACACACACACACACACACACACACACACACACACACACACACCCTTTTAGTGTGCATGGTTCTGCACTGTCAGAGTAAAACTTCACACACTTCCAGCGCACACAGTAGAGGAGATGAGCGACAGTGAATGGGTTATCTTCTAGGAAACCCACTCTCAGGGCCAGCTCTGTCCTTAAGCTGAGTGAGATGGCTGCCTCAGGCGCCATGGAGAGCTGGTATGCGATAGCGGTTACACGGCTGGACTGGGGCTGTGAGATGAGCCACTTCCGCTGTTGACTGAGTGATGGCGGTCTGTCTTGCAGGAAAGGCCACCATGAGATAGACCACTTTATCCATGGGGATAAAGTGAGGAGGAGGAGACCTTTCAGCTTCTCGGTGGGAAAGCAGGATATAAATGTAGCTAATAACAAATACATAGGCATACCAAGAGTGAAGGGGTGGTGGGAAAGTATTGGAAGTTAAACTATGTCGGCCCCATGGGTTGTCCTACATCACTTAAGATGTGGCAATCAAGAGGAGGTTGTGCCACCTCCAGTGTCTGAATAGAGACACCTGCAAATCTAGTTTACTTCTTTGTGTGTATGGGGGAGGGGCAGGTCCTTTGCCCCTCAGGCACCCCTAGTCAGGCTCGTCTTTACTATTCTTTTTCTTTTCTTTTCTTTCTTTTTTTTTTTTTTTTTTTTTTGCAAGATCTCTGGCAACACAACCACTTGGGCCTCTTCTGGGACCCGTGGACTGAACTGGCACTTCAGCCTGGACTGATGTGCCATTAGTGCCTCAGCACCAAGGGCAGGGAGCACAGTGCTTTCCTCCCTCCCCCTCTGGCCGGCAAGTAAGTCTAGCTGTGCCATCATCATTGGACATCACTCAAGCCAGGTTCTAACTAAAGACTCAAACCTGGCATATGTTACATTTTCATTGGTGATAGTGGGGAGAAAGATATATAGATTATTCTCTTGGGACATGCAGCAGAGGTTTCAGCTCCTTCCATTTCATTGAAAAAGAGACTGGGAATTCTTAGCTCTTTGTGAATGGTCACTCACCAAGGGAAACATTTTTGAGTATTTTCTGTTCTTTCTGAAGAAAAACAGCTCTTGTGGAGAAAGCCGATCCTTAATGACCTGTAATCTGAGCAGGTAAACGGTTCCATTCTCAACCTCCATCCTTGTCAAATTGGGACACACTGTTGATTCCAGGAAAGGAAGTTTTAAAAAGTAACTTTTCAAGCTCTAACAGATGTTTGGTTAGATGAGCCCTGACACGGCTTTCCCTTTCTGTCATGTCCACAGAGCTTCTGTGGCTAACCAGGTATCCTTCTGAAGGTTCTCTGAAACAGATGTACAATATTTTGTTCTGACGATTCTTCCTTCTTCTACTGCATTTTCCCCCCAGGCATTTCCCCAAGAACTACTACAGATTGAGGTTCAAGGTGCCTGGTAGCAATGCCACCGTTGCCATCCTCATGATAGACACCGTGACCATCTGCGGCAATTCAGACGACTTCCAGAGCGAGCAGCCCTTGCGTCCGCAGAACGTAGACCTGGCCCGTAGCCAGCTCTCTTGGCTCCGCAAACAGATGGCCAACTCACAGGACGACTACTTGCTGGTGGCTGGGCACTACCCCGTGTGGTCTGTGGGAAAGCATGGACCCACAGCATGCTTGGTCAAGCAGCTGCAGCCACTGCTGCTGAAATACAAGGCCACGGCCTACCTGTGTGGCCATGATCACAATCTGCAGGTGAGCCAACAAAATCACCATAATCTTAGATCGCTGCAGAGCTGGAATGCATACGCTCTTGCATGCGTTCTTAAAAAGAAAGCAACCAAGGGTAAAGACTAGAGAATATGGCTGGCCTTAAGATGAGGCAAAGAGGGCAGTCAACTCAGGTAGCAAATACTAGGTAATACAGAGAGGACAGCAGCCAGCACCTCCCGATTGTTCCTGCCTATTGAGGTTAGATCTGTATGTTCAAGACATGTCTGTTCCATATAAAACTGTTGATCTTAGGTGAAATGGAAGATGCAGTGAAATATCCCACTTTGTAAGGCCAACTAGAACATAAGTGCTATCTTGTACCTTCTGTCAGACAATAAAACGTCCTGGTAGCCAGTGAAAAGTCTGAGCTTTGCTTAGGAAGCTGCAGTCTCCTGACCTCTCCCTTCAGACTGTAAAAGAGTAACTTGCTAAGGTGGCTGCGTAGGTGAGCAAGAGAATGCCCGTTGAAGGGACTATAAGGGGTTCAGCAGAGGTCAGTAGCATGCAAAGGAAGCTCCTGCTTCATGCGTTTGTGGTTTTGGCTCTTGTGGGTCTGCCTCTCGTCTGCAGCCCTGTCCCTCTCCTCCATTTTCTGCCCTCTGATGATACTGTCAACTCTTGTAGGCCTCTCTTGCCCTGCCCTCTCTCTCTCTGCCTTTCTGGCTATTACATCACCCTGATCGCTTCTTTCACCCGAATTTATCTATATGAGGAGGTAGCAAGCTGTCTGAGAAAAACCACACCATTTGGTACTGTAGTCTGTGTTAATTAACAACTATGGTGCACTAAATGGAAACAAAGCTCCTTCTGCCATAGCCATACCTCAAGCATTAATTTGTAATATTTTCCCCAGCACATCTCATTCTTGCAGCCACACACAGTGTCAACTCATCCCAGCAGAGCTAGGGACTGAACCTGGAATTCCTGAAATGGTCTCCCTGCAGGAGTGATGCTGGGCCATATACTGGGCTGGAATGCTGCCAGGTCGGGGGCGGTGGTGATCTTGGTGTAAGCTTGTTCTTTTTTTCTTCCCCTATCAGTACCTGCAAGACAAAACAGGCTTGGGCCATGTGCTGAGTGGAGCTGGCAACTTCATGGATGACTCCAAGCAACACCTCCACCAGGTTCCTGCTGGCTACCTACGCTTCTTCTATGGCCAACCTTCTTCTCAGGGGGGATTTGTCTACATTGAGCTTAACAACAAAGAGATGAGCATCACGTACATTGAGGCCAGAGGCAAGTCGCTTTACAAGACCACTCTACCCAGGCGGAGACGTTTCTAAATTCAAGATTGCGGTCCTCACTGGCTCCTATCTTAGCTGTCCTGCCTTGCTAGGGGTGGGGACAATGATGACATCTCTGGGTCCCACGCAGACCTCACTCCTTCCTCCTATGGTGACCATTGGCACTTGTGGGGAGCCTAGCGGTCACTAGAATCTCCCCTTTGGGGAAGTGCGCTCTTTGCTCTTGTAGATTATTCTAAGTTCTCCATACTTTTGGCACACCCACAGTGTTCCTCTGTGAATGCTGCCTCTGTGGACCCCTATGTCTCTCTGTGACTCCTGCCAACATTTGAGAACACACCTGGGGAAGAGCTGCCTGGGATTCCCACTCGCATGGCCCTACGGCCGGCAGCTCTTTCTGCAAGATGAGCTGTTATAGGGTGATGTTAGGTAGACGGGTTTTTGGAGTCTTAAGCTAGGTTCACAACCAAAGCCGAGAACCAAGCAATATACAGTTCGAGGCAGTGTCCGAGGGCCAGCCTCACTGAACCAATATATATGCCTGTGTCTGTGGCTCTGAGGCGTGAAATGGAAACAAAACGTTTCAAGTTGTGGCACTTCTTCCCCCACACCCAACCCCAACCAGAGCCTTTAATAGCAACTTGTCACATAGGTAGCATCCCTAAGAGAGGGGTGCAGCACAGAGTAGTAATAATTCTGTGCTGTGACCGTAGGGAAGACGTAGCCTGTTTGTACAACAGGGTAGAAACCTAGCCTTGTATTGAACACTCTAGACGAAATAATTTGCCCTTCGTGCTGCCGCTAACTCTCAGAATTATCTGAAAGTAGGATGAACTTTTCCCTAGTTACAGTCATCATCTTGAAACTATCTGCAGGGTCATCGCTTTCAGGTAAAGACAGTGGGACTCAGCTACCTGATTGAGACTGGAGCTGAAAATTAACTTTACTCTGTCTCTGCTGTGCCCAGCAAAGTTGAAGTCTTTGGGTGCAGGTGAAATTTGGACCACGAATAATACAGGCTTTGTGGAGGGAGCCGCTTGTGGCTACTTTCCCCACATGGGCAGTAGCATTTCCCACGTTCTCCCTCCTTTAAGTTTAAGGTCCATGATCCTCCACTCTGAGCCATATGTAGAAATTCTCCACCACACATACTGCCCTCTGAACACTTGTGATTCTCCTCTGTTTTGGCCCTGCAGCAGGAGGCGTCCTCTTATAGGCGAACAGCTCTTATAGAGTAGGAGACAGTGGTGGCTGGGGTGCTGTGGATAGCTAGAACATTCAGAGGATGAAGCAGGAGTCTTTGTAGGAATATGAGAGGATATCTGTGATCCCACATAATGTGTCAGCACCTTTATTAGGTCAGGTCAAAAGGTACAAAATTAGATGACTGGCACAATAAAGGTATTACTTCATTCTGGATTTTGATATTTTTCTTATGGCCAGAAAGGCTCGCCATTCTTGTCCGCTAACATCCCAGATGTCACTTATTGCCTACTCTTTGTAACTGCATACCTCAGCACGCTGTCCTGCAGAGTTTTTGACCTCAGTCACTCATTCTATGCAAAAGTGCTAATACTGTACTACATTTCCCATCTAGAAAACACCGCTATATGTGTGCAGCAAAGGGATAGGAGAGCTGTCTGTCTTCCAAATAAATTAAGGGGCTGAAAAAACTGTTGCTTAATGTAGGAAGTGGCAACTAGAGTAGGCCCACTGAATCAGTGGGGATGCAGCAAGTCAGCTCTGCTATAAGTTCCACTGATTCAGTAGGGGTGCTTTAGTTGCAATTTACTATGCTAAGCAACAGGATATCAGCCAGGGTCTATAACAAGTCTTTTTCTGGATTATTCTTTTGGCTCCTCTGTTTTATATTTGATTCTGCTCTAAATGTTAGTAGCTGTTTTGCATTTTAAAGTCATCTTTTTGTCTTGATTTTAATTTTTTGAAATAGAAGTGTTCCATTTCCTGTGAGATCAGTGATTTTATGCAACCAGAATCCAGTTTTCTTCTATATATGAGGTTCTTTGGAGACCTGTTCACAGGGGGAAAAAAGCAATAAATAAATAAATAAATAAAAATCTTAAAAAAGGAATATGTTTGCATCTATTATTGGGACTCGCTTTTCAATAAAATAATTTTAGAATATTTTGTTATAGTTTTTGAATTGAATTTTTAATTTCAATACGATCTGGTGAAAAATAGCTGGTGCATGCGCCTGCTTCGCAAGAGGTCATTCAAGTGTTTGAAATTTCAGTACTAAATGGATCCTCTCATTTCATCATATCACACGCAGTCCTATGTTTCTGCAATGTTGAAAAGAATGAGGAAAGTTATTGCAACTTCATGGTAATATAAACAATTATTGTTAAAGTTTGCATTGTTCTCTAAGGCCTAGTTTTATTTGCTTTGCAGTTGGTCCTACCCAGGTGGTATAGGGTTCACGTGGCTGCTGCCACCTATCGTCTCCCTGCTAACTAAAATAACAGAAATGTGTCATGTCACCTGTTTAAGAGACAGCCAAGAAGTGCCAGAGGACTGAAGCCATCTTTACAGAGGGCTACAGCATTGTTATAAACATTATTGCTGGTATTAATAACAAGAGTAACCGCAACTCTCATTTCCCACTCTTCCAAATATCAGAGAGGCTAACAGTTCTTGCAGTATAAAGCGTTCATAACTGCCAATATCTAACCATTCATAACTGCCAATTCCTTAAGCTTGTATTTTAATAATTCAGGTCTGCCCTTTAAATGACCAAGCCCATTGTTTAGGAAACCTGAAGAAACAGTATTTTAGCAGCAGCTGAATACTAGTTAATTCAGTTAAGTGAACGGAGACAGTTAAGCCAAAGGGGTCATTTAGACCTGGAAAGCCCAATTTTAGCAGCAGCTGAATACTAGTTAATTCAGTTAAGTGAATGGAGACAGTTAAGCCAAAGGGGGCATAATTTGGTCATTTAGACCTGGAAAGCCCGATTTAGGGCGCCAAACTATACATGGACCATTAGGCCAGGAAAAAGCAATTTTTCTTAGCCACTTGAGATCCTTACAATTGGAGGTACCCATGCCTGAGTCTGGGAATCTCTGCATGCAGAAATATCTGCTCTAACATTGAGCTGTACCACCTCACCCCATGCTTTTTAGCCGATATCCTTCCTCTTATTCAAACACTGTACAATACCTTTGAGGCGGAACGCATCCACATTTATACTGGGCTGTGAGGCAGAGGATCTTTGTAGCAGGAAAACCTGGCAGATCCCCATCTGTGCCCCTTGTTGAATGGGCCTACTGTGTTATCAGCCGAAAGTAAGGAAAGAAGAACAGAGAGAGGGAGAGTATAGCCAAGTGTCTGAGGAACTGGATTGGGACCCATGAAAGTGCACTCAAATAACCTGTTGATCTTCAAAGTACAACATACTTATTTTGGTTTTGCTATACTGTACTTTACTGTGCTTGACTTAAGATGTTCAACATAAGGGTAGCAGAGTAACTGAGGGTCCCTAAAGGAAGCCATAGGTACACAGGATCATGTGTAGTGAATAGAATGATTGCCTAGGTTGGAATCCCTGCTTTGCCAGGGAAGCTCACTGGGGGAGTGGAATTGGTAGAACTACCCTTCAAATATCTTACAGTACTTTGAAAACCCCATTAGGGCCGCTGCTCACTGGGGGAGTGGAACTGGTAGAACTACCCTTCAAATATCTTCCTTTGAAAACCCCATTAGGGCCGCTATAAGCTGGTTCTGACTTGAAGGCACATCACAACAAAGGAAACCACAGGCTTGACTTTAGAAGAGCCGAGTAGGGCTGCCGAGGACAGGACATTTTGGAAATCACGTCGTCGCAGAGTTGCCCTAAGTCTAACGTGACTTGACAGCATGTAAGAATTTAGGCGAATGGAGCAAGTAGAGTGTGGTGGAGAGAATGTCCCGCCAGGACACAGGAGATCTGTCTGCTTAGCTGTGAGAACACAGAAATGGTAAGGGCTGCCATAAATCAAAAGTGACTTGACAGAACAACAATTCATGTGAGCCACTCCACTTCATACCTATTTTGACCTTAAGAGGTAGTACCTCTAAACCAGTGGTTGGTTCCTAACCTTTTCAAGTCACAACCGTCTTTTATAATAGCTAAGTAAAATGTAGGGGAAAAAACCCTGCCACATTTGTATAAAAAGGCATTTTTAATTGGGTAAAGCCATCTCTTCTCAGAAAGTAGAGGCTTCTTTCCCCCACGAAGGGCTCGTTTCTCATACATACACAGTAACTAATATCCGGCTCCAAAAGGTTAAGGATGAATACTTAACAAGCGCTACCACATATATAAGGCAACCTGCGACACCTTCCTAGAAAACTCTTTGCTGTCCACTTGGGGATCATGATCCCCATGTTGGGAAACACTGTTCTGAAAAGGGCATGTTTTATCCAAACCAGCCTCACAGCTTCTTCAGCCAAAAGGTTCTTCCTCCTGCACTTCTTTTCCACTTACTTTACCTGGAATTTAAATTATTATTCACTGGTAACTCTCCCAATTCAAGCAACCCTGAACATCCTGTAATAAATCTATCTTCCAAATGTTCCTTTTTCTTTAGTTGCCTTTGTTAAGGTCTATGATGCTACATCACACTAGCTGCAACAATCTGTACTTTCTATTTCTCGACTGTCATTTATACTTTCTTAATTTTTATTCTTTAAAACAATTTTTTAAATTATTCTTCACTGGTAACTCTCCCAATTCAAGCAACCCTGAACATCCTGTAATAAATCTATCTTCCAAATGTTCCTTTTTCTTTAGTTGCCTTTGTTAAGGTCTATGATGCTACATCACACGGTAAAACTGAAAACACATAGCATCAAACAATGTGCATTCTTCAAGTCAATTTTTTTGTTTAGCATCACATTTCTTAATGGAGTTGCTTCAGTATTTATATTTGATGGATCAGCTGGGACTACTATCACACAAGAAAAATTAGAACAGATGCCTTGGAGCAACTCTCTTAAAATGAAAGCAGAACAAGAAATATAACAAGAGAAAAAAATGACTCATTTAAAACAAGATGTTGGAAAAAAGTATGATGGTTATCACAAACCACCAAAAAGACCAAATGCATGTGTTCTAGAGCAAATCAAGCCTGAACAATCACTAAAAGGCAAAATGACTAGATAGGCTGCCCTACTTCAGAAATATCTGTATGAAAAAATCCACTGGAAAAGATATTAATACTGAGAAAACTGGAAAGCAGTAGGAAAAGATGAAGACCAAACATGAAATGCATCAAGGAAATCACAACTTTTAAGTTTCTAGGACTTTAGCAGAGCTGTTCATGACACGAATTTTGGAGTTGTTTTTTTTTTAATTAATATGGACATTGCAAGTCAGGAGCGCTTTAAAAAGCACGGAAGAAATGTCTATATGGGAAGGGATTTTTTTAACATTAAGTCCCGCCAGCGCCAATTCCACCTCTAAGGTGGGATCTCAACGGCTGACAATATTGTCTGAACATATTTCTCAAAGCGTCCTCTGTATCCAATATGAAAATAAGGATTAAACTTGTCCTGATCAGCAGAGCGACATTTTAAAAATGTTTTATTAAATCTTTATATACTCCTTATATGCACTTGTATGCTTAACAGGCACACGCTGTATTCCCACCAGATGTAACGCATAAGCGTGAAATATCCAGCGTGAAAGGCCGGGATTTCTCCGCCGCGCTTCCAAAACCAGGTCGCGTTTCCGACCGGGTCACGCCCACCTCCCGCGAACAAGTCCCGTTGCCACCCTCCGCTGACCTATAGGGAATGGGGCGGTGCTAACGGTTCATTTCCGGTTGTGGCGCCGGAAGTTCTGGTCTCCGTTGGAAACGAGGCCTAGGAAGGGTCGTGAGGCCAGGTAGGGGAAGGGGATTGAATCAGTGGGGGAGCCTTTGGCCTCTTGATCTCGAAGCGAAGTTTATTTTGGGACCTAGTCCCCGAGAAGGGCCGAAGCGGCGGCAATGGCTGCTGCACGAAGGGAAGGGAAGGGAAGAGGGTAGCCCTCGCTTACTGTTCGCGTGGTCTCCATTTCAAGCCACGCTGGGACATTTCGTTCCTACAGAACCAAGAGAAAGGCTTGTGGGAGTGTTTACTCCTACTCTTCTCTCTGGTCCGTCTAACTCGCTCGCTTTTTGTATTGCTGATCTCTCCCTTTACAGCTGCCAACTCTTTTATTCCCCCCCCCCATCAGTTTGTTAGCAAAAGGATGCGGATACCCGGGCCTATTCGGCAGTGATGGGGTCCCGGTTTCTCCCTTTTTTGGTTGTTCAGCTGGCAGGAGTAGAGATGTAATTTCCGAATATTTCCTTTTTCCTCACTTTTTTTTTCCCTGGGGGGGGAAATGAAATTTTCATATTTTTATATCTCTAGAGAAAACTTAAATAAAGTTTCAGACCTCTTTCATTAAGGTCTTCATGTCATATAATTTGAATACCATGGCATAGACACATTACTTGTCATTGTAAAATAACATATTCCACACTCCATGTTTTTTCGATTTTTCCAGAAGCGCCCCCCCCAATGGCTTTGGAAGCACACACACACACACCAATTTTCTGGCAGGAGGTAGTTTGCATTATATGTATTAGGAACAGAGCTGCCCCCCCCCCCAATTATCTATATAGAAGCTGGGGTTAAATAAGATTTGTGGATGTTTCTGTGTTTAAGTCCTTTTGTGGTAGGGACATGGGCAGATGAAACCTCGTTTGTGGGGCATAAAAAACAATGGTAACCCCATTGGATGATAAGAGGAAAAAGACCACAGTTGGGCAGACCTTTGGGGACCAACGAAAGCATCTCAGAATAGTGGAAAAGGTTGAGTTCTAGATCAAAGTTGATGGTAGAAAAAGAGGCAAACAAAAGTGTATTAGCAAATCAGTCAAGGTACTATAGCCATGAGGTTTGCATTAAAGATGAAACAAATATGTTAATTTGCTTTAAATTATATACTTCATTGGCTTCTGCTATGTGCTTATGGGATCCTCTTAGGGTGAGGAAGCTGACTGGCCTCTGTTTCTGGATTCACAGTTAGATACAGTATTTTAGTTGAGGCTGAAAGAAGAAATAGAAACATAAGTCTTAATATTGAGAAAGCTACAGATTAAATTGAGATTCTGAATAATCCTTTTAAAAAAACCTGAAGTGAAATATTGGTAGTATTAAGAGTGGGTGAAAAAGCAGTAAAATCTTAGAGTTGAAGTCTAGACTGTTGTGGGCTTTCGGTAGAGGCATGACTCGATGAAAACTCCTGCTCTTAGACATGTAAACATGCTGGTCATGTTCTGCTTTTGGTTTAAACTAAGACAACAGACGCCCACCAATTAGCCCATTAAGCTCCCTTTCCTACTGAGCAACGAAGCACCACTCCTTCACTGTTAGCCTCTGCTCCCTCAATTGAAGGACCTACCTTATTGCAGATCTGGCCGCTCTAAGCCCTCTGGTGCTAGATTGCAGAATGGAAAGGGTTTGCAAAGATTTGTATCTCTTTATCAGCAAGTATGGGTAACTCTTGTCTTTATTTTCCTGCAGGCAAGGATGGGGCGTAGGAAATCAAAACGGAAGCCTCCACCCAAAAAGAAGATGACAGGGACACTTGAGACACAGTTTACTTGCCCCTTCTGTAACCATGAAAAATCCTGTGATGTTAAAATGTAAGTTGTATACGCACGTGGAAGAATAGAAATTCTCTGATCGATGGCAAATTGAATCTGCTTAATATGTTATGAGACCCAGTGTCACAGATAGTGTTAGGCTCAGTCCCAGCTGACAGGTTCAAATCCCAGCTCAGACATTGAAAGTCATTGATGATGATGATGTGTGTGTGTGTGTGTGGTAGTGATCACTTGCTAAATGTCTCACATACCTTGAAAACCTTTTTAGGATCACCATAAGTCTGAAGTTATGTGGTAGTACAGAACAATAATAACAGGTTGCAGCAGTTGGAAACTCAGATTCTTAAAACAGACAATTGCAGAAAATGGAAATGCAGGAGAATATATGTGATTTTCTAGCTGGGGTAATAAAGGAACTGAGGGTGAAGGGAGTAGTGGTAGTCCAACTTTTGAAGAGGTTTCATGTGTTCATCTTCTTCCAATCTGTGCATTTGGAGTTATTGTATCTTATTCTCCTCAAGCATAGCACACTAGATCTAAAGTAAAATGGCCAGAATTTCTTCAGTTTGAAAGACAACCTCCAGAAATATCCTCTGTGTCCTTTATTGTGTGGTTTCCTATTACTTCTACATATAGTGAAAGGAGAAGAAATAAACTGTCCTTTTCCCATCCTCAGGGAAGATTTATGGAGGTTAACTCTTCTCTTCAACCCAGTTGAATTTTAGCTGAAATGAATATCATAATCATCATTTTAGAACTGCAGAGCTGGGAGGGATCCTATGGATCATTAAATCCAGTCCCTGCCAAGGAGGCAAAGTGGGGGATCAAACTCCCAGCCTCTGTCTCCACAGCCAGACGCCTAAACCATATGTACTTACTGCTCTTTTTAAAATGGTTTTTAAAGGATGTGGGGGGTTTTAAATTGAAAATTAGTAGCAATAGAACTGTGTGAATATAGGGAATACAGCAAATACAAAAGGAGGGTATGATGCAGAAATATATACAGGGAAAAATTGCAGCCACAGTATTACAAGATCAAGGTAGTTCACTTTTTGACAGGTTCATGTGTGGCGCAGGAGGGAGATACGCAATTTTGCCAGACTTAATATGCTAAATACATATCCTAACTGCTATTTTGAGTCAGGTCCCTGTTTACTCTTCTGATTTCTAGTTTCTCAGATGCGCAAGGAGATTGGAAGTGTTTGCATCTATAAAATGGTATCTTTATTCCAGGGATAGAGCTCGGAATACTGGAGTGATATCATGTACTGTGTGTCTGGAAGAATTTCAAACCCCAATAACATGTATCCTTTGGTATTTTATTCCATAAAAGTATTCGCAGTAAGTAATTCTTGATCCACCCCACCTGGATGAAAGAAAAATGTGATTGCAGTGAAGGAAGAAGAATAAAGATTCCTGGATTGTAAACGTTTTATCTGATTTGTACCAGAGCAAAAAGTGGGGAATGACAGGGATCCAGAAAATTTAGTTGTTGTGAGACAACCCCCAGCAACCAAGATGCAGCTGCTCTGCCCACTGGTTGGATTCCCTTATTTACCTCAAAAAATTGTTAAAATACGTTAGTCTTATCTTTGTAAAACACAGTGATCAAAATCCTGTTGGTGTAAAGTATATCATGGAGCCAAATGATGTCATCATCTGGTGCAGGTAGTATTTAATTTAAATGAGTTGAAAGACTCCTGCCTCCCTGTTTCAAGTTCTGAGGCTTTCTAGGGGCCCCTTTTGCCATGGATAAGCTTTTCAGAGCTTGGGGGTGGATTGCCTTTAATTCAAGGCCGGATCACTGCCACTGGTCCCAATTCTGGCAGCTGCAATCCGGTGATAATTTTTACTATTAAAGGCTCCCTTGCCCATAGGCTTCCCCAGAGCAGAAGGGAATACGAAGGAGCCTTGGAAGCTGAAATGGACAGATAGAAGGCTTTCAGACCATTTAAATTAAATCATAGAATGATAGAATAATGGAGTTGGAAGTAGTCTGTAAGGCTATTGAGTCCAAGCCCTTGCCCAAGGCAGGAATCCAAATCGAGTTTATCTGACAGGTGGTTGTCTAATTTTCTCTTGAATGCCTGCAGTGTTGGACTGCTCACCACCTCCCAAGCTAATTGGTCCCATTGTCATACTGCTCTTAACAGTAAAGGTGTTTTTTTCCTGATATTCAGCCAAAATCTGGCTTCTTGCAAATTGGTCACATTATTACACGTTCTGCATTCAGGGATGATTGAGAACAGATCCCATTCCTTCCTCTTTCAAATATTTGAAAAGAGCATTACAGTGGTGCCTCGCTTGACGACGTTAATCCATTCCAGCGAAATCGCTGTAGAGCGAAATCATTGTCAAGTGAAAGTAAAAAGCCCATTAGAATGCATTAGAAACTGGTTAATGCGTTCTAAAGAGTGAAATACCTCATCGTAAAGCAAAGATCCTCCATAGGGCGGCCATTTTCTGCTCCCTGTAGAGCGAAGAATCTGTCCCTAACACAGTGAGGAGCCATTTTGGAAACCCGACGATCAGCTGTTTTGATCGTTCTTAAGCAAAAAATCGGTTCCCGAAGCAGGGAACCAATCATCGTAAAGCGGATTTTCCCCATAGACACGTCGCTTTGCGATCGCAATAGCAATCGCAAAAACCTCGTCGTACAGTGGATTCGTTGTACAATGAGGTATTCATCAAGCGGGGCACCACTGTATATCAACCACCTCACTCTTGTTTTCTCAAGGCTAAACATGCCCAGTTTTTTCAGTCTTTTCTCATAGATCTTGGTTTCCAGTCCCCTTATCATCCTTGTTGTCTTCTTTTGAATTTATTCCACTTTTCTGCATCCTTCTTAAGGTGGTATACTGTATCTAGAACTGGACACAGTGTTCAAGATGAGGCCTGACCAGTGTCAAATAGAGGGGAACTAACACTTCACAGGATTTGGAGAGTGCATAGGAGTTGCAGCCTAAAATAGTGTTCGCCTCTTTTGCAGCCATATCACACTGTTGGTTCTTATTCAGCTTATAATTTACAAAAATTCCAAAATCTTTCTTGCATATAGTATTATGTACCCCCCCATCCTGTAACCATGTGTTTGTGTTTTTTTCTTGGGTGTAAAACTTTGCACTTATCTCGGTTAGGTTTCATTCTGTTGTTTTTAGCCCGTTGCTCAAGCCTATAAAGATCCTTTTAAATTTTGTTTCTCCCTTCCAGGGTGCTAATTATTCCACCCAATTTTGTTTCATGTGCAAATTGGATAAACATTATGTGCGCCCCCTCATCCAAGTCATTAATAAAAATGTTGAAAAGCACTAGGTCCAGATCTGAGCCTTGTGTACCCCACTTGTTTCTTCCTCCCAGTTTGAGAAGGAGTCTTTGATAATTACTCTGGATACAATTCTGTAACCACCTGTGTACCCACCCTTACATTTGTCCTATCCAGCCCATAGCTAGTTAGCTTGATAATCAGAATATTATGGTGCACTTTCTTCAAAAGGGTTGTCAAGCGATAGCTAGTTAGCTTGATAATCAGAATATTGTCAAGCAGTGTGAGTCTACAGCATTCCCATTGTCTACCAGGGAGGTTACCTGAGCAAAAAGTGAGATGAGATTAGGAAGGCAGGATTTGTTCCTGACAAATCTGTGTTGGCTTCTAGTTACTGCTGCATCGTTTTCAAGGTGCTTGCAGAGTGATTGCTTTATAATCTGCTCCAGAATTTTTCCTGGGATTGATGTCAGGCTTATCAGTCTGTAGTTCCCTGGTTCTTTCTTTTTGTCCTTTTTGAAAATCAGGACAACGTTAGCCCTTCTTCAATCAACTGGCATTTCACTTTAGTGCCTCCCTTGGCTGCTGCTGCTTGAGAGGTCTACGTACTCTTTATCTTCTCTTATAGCCTGAAGTATGGCCACACTGCTCCAGTTTCCTCACTTTTTCTTCTAACAGAGCTACAAGTTCACATTTGCTGCATGTGTATGCTGTGTTGTTCTCAGGAATGAAGAAAAACAATGCACACACTTTGCAGGTCATCATCACTGCAGGTGTCTCTTTTCTTCAGAATCCCTGTTACTTTTTTACTTTTATCTGTTTGTTATTGAGTGCCCTTTGTATTGTCTGCCTTGAAGCATGGGAAAGTCCACTAATATATAGCTAAATCCAGAAACCAAAAATTTTCGTAGACACCTCCATCAAACTCCTGTTTGCTCTCCCTGTTTGCTGGGCCTGTTTGCTCACTCCTTGGGGCCTGTCTCAGTTTTATTCTTCTGCTATGCTCTATTAGGAGTTAGCAAACAGAAAACATTACTAGCTCTGTAGTGACAGGATATTGCCCAGAGAATGGTCTGAACTGAAATACTTGTTCGGAGAAAGAACATAGGTATGAAGGATTATAGAGATACAACAATGGGATGTATTGGTGGTGGCATACATTAAATTAAATATGTTTTTGTGCAGTAGGTTCTCTTCCTTGACTTTTGATCCTAAAGATCTTTCAGAACCAGTGGATGTTTACAGCGATTGGATAGATGCTTGTGAGGCAGCCAATCAGTAGCAGCAACTGAAGAGGAACTTGCCAGGAAATAACAACATTTCTGAACTTGAGCTGGGCTGGATTGAATTGGATGGGGGTTGTCTGTTATGTCTTGCATTGCTTACAGAATGTGCTGAAGTAACAACTGGGGTGGCTGGGAAATTGTGGTTCTTATTGTCTCCCCCATCCAATAATCCTGTCCTTTTGTGTGAATATTATTGGATTGTACCTCTAAAACTATCATTTGAACCTCCAAGAAAGAGAAAGGCAAGCACTTTTATAAAGAGCCTGGCCATTGGACATCTTAATGTCAATGACTGCTTTGATCACAGTCCTATCAAGGATCCCTCAGTTTATAGAATGGGCTTCAATGAAAGCATCTTTGTATCTTGATACCTGCTGGTATTACTTGGGAGTGCTATGCTCCTTGTGTCCAAGGTTAAACTGCCCTGTTTAACTAGCAACCCTACACAGGTGATAAGAAATAATTTACTTCTGGTTTCATAACATAGTATTTTAGTATCTGGTTGAGTACTAGACTGGAGCACTACAGTAACTTCCTTTGATAGGCTGTTTGCCATTAGAAAGGATCGTAGTGGGTTCTGTTTGTATTTCCACACTTCCAGGAGAATGACTCATTTCCTGCCAAGTTATTTTTCTGTGCCCATTTGTGCATTGGACTCTTCTCCATTTTCTTGATACTTGGCAAGTAGAACTCTTTTCCACAAATTAGTTTGGAGAAACCTGAGTTTGCCTCTGCATAAAAACCATGGATCCACCAATACGGTGCAAAAAAATTCTCAACAGTTTGATTTTACAATTTCAGATAGAAACTTTATAACCTTTGAAGGAAGTGTAGTTTTAATTTACTTATTTGAAAGTCGACTTAGTTGCCAATAATATGAAATTTCTGAGATTTGATCCTCTGCACAACTGAGTGAAGGATGTTGACAATTCTAATACAGCACAAAACTTTCATTCAGGCTTCGTGCCTGGCTGAGAAGTTGTGTCATCTTCTGACAAATAGGTGGTGGATAATGTGCACATGTGGAATTGAACAATATGTTGTTCTAGATCCCTGCCTTCTCCCCTTTCATTTTGCTTTCGAATCCTCTTCACTGTATTTCTAGATGTGTCGTGAGCATGCAGTGTGCTTGCTAGAACTGTTCACTCAATTGCGCGTTTGACTCCTTTTCTCTTACTTACTTTCTGGTGGTCCGATAATAGGTCCTTCCAGACAACTTCCACACATGTAATTGGCCACAGAGGGGCAAGCAGCGGGAGAGCTACACTTCAGAGCAAGGGGTTGGGTGGGAGTTTCCTTCTGAATCTGGTTATCAGGAATGGGGAAGCATTTGGCCCGTCCCCTGCTTGGCAGCGAGGAGGCTTTTTAAGATCTGAACCAAAAGGAATTCCATGTTCTTTTTGTGATTTATGTGCATGTCCTTATATGTAAATAATATCTGAGATAACAGAAACTCGCCTCTTGATTTTATGTATTTGAGGAGCTTCTGAGGTAATTAACATGCCTTTTAAATAAATACTATATTAGAAAAGTAGCCTTTCATTGTCTTGTGTTTCTGCTGGTGTGACATGAAGTCACAGAAAGTTTATGGTTGGTTTGAAGTCTCTGCAGCTGTTTGTGATTCCTAACTGCTTTGGTGGTTGCAGTTTCACTTAATGGGCTTATATTTGGGGTAGAGCTTATATTTTGAGCATCCTGAAAAATCGTTCTAGGGCTTATTTTCAAGTTAGGTCTTATTTTTGGGGAAACAGGGTAATTTCTGAGTTCTTACTACTTTGGGGGGAAATTTTCTTTGTAATGGCTTCCATTTTGGCTGGTTTGCACTGCTCTTTCATTTTGTATACTTTCTGTGTCAATACTGCTGTTGTCCATTGTTTTTGTGTTAGCTCATTTTTAAGTGCATGTTTTTGTCTGGGTAGTCTTTTTTTAACGTGGAGATTCTTATCATTGCATGATTGAGTTGGAAGGGGCCTATAAACCAGTTGTGTCCACCACCACCCTGCTCAATGCAGGAAACAGGTTTTCATTCATCTGTTATGTAGTATCAATTCACTATGTACTGAGATTTTGTGATATAGGATGGACTACAAATGTTTTGAATAAATAAACAAATTATGATGATCCTGTCAACTAATGACCTCCAGGAGAGGTCTTAAAGGTGTAGTTTCCTTTGTTGAGTCAATGTATCTCATGTTTGGTCGTCTTGTTTTCTTTTTCTTACAGCTTCAGTTATTGTCTTTTCCATTTGTTTTTGTATGTCTCCAAATACAATTGCTTCAGTTTAATTATTTTGGCTTCTAGCCAGAATTCAGGGTTGACTTTGATTCATTTATTTGTTTTTGTGGAAGTCTACTGTCTCTGTAATATTTACCATCTTCAATGTATTGAATGAGTTCTTTTTCAGATTTGTTCATTGTATATATTTCACATAAGTGGATAGTAATTGGGAATACTATAAATAATGAGCTGTTTTTCTGGAGCCTGAGTCAGTATACAGCTACAGGTATTCAGGTGGCAAGGAAGAACCCAACTTCAGAGTTTAGCTCTTGAATCTCCCTGGAAGAAAGAGAATTCATCCTTCTTCACTCTTGAGGGCTGGGAGAGGTGATCATCCCATCTCCTCCTTACCCGCAGCTCCTGAAGCCCCATTAGGAGCTCAGGCTCTTGCATCCCTGAGGGTCCAGCATCTGCTGTTGTTGTTTAGTCATTACAGTACATTGTGTCTGACTCTTCGTGACCACATGGACCAGAGCACGCCAGGCCCTCCTGTCTTCCACTGCCTCCTGGAGTTGGGTCAAATTCATGTTGGTAGCTTCGATGACACTGTTCAGCTATCTTGTCCTCTGTTGTCTCCTTCTCCTCTTGCCTTCCCACTTTCCCAACATCAAGGTCTTTTCCAAGGAGTCTTCGTTTCTCATGAGATGGCCAAAGTATTGGAGCCTCAGCTTCAGGATCTGTCCTTCCAGTGAGCACTCAGAGTTGATTTCCTTCAGAATGGATAGGTTTTTTCTCCTTGCAGTCTAGGGGACTCTCAAGAGTCTCCTCCGGCATCTCAATTCAAAAGCATCAATTCTTTGGCGGTCAGCCTTCTTTATGGTCCAGCTCTCACTTCCATACAACACTGCTGGAAAAACCATAGCTTTGACTATGCGGACCTTTGTCAGCAAGGTGATGTCTCTGCTTTTTAAGATGCTGTTGAGGTTTGTCATCACTTTCCTCCCAAGAAGCAGGCATCTTTTAATTCCGTGGCTGCTGTCCCCATCTGCAGTGATCATGGAGCCCAAGAAATGAAATCTGTCACCACCTCCATATCTTCCCCTTCTAATTGCCAGGAGACGATGAGACCAGTTGCCATGATCATCATCATCATCACCATCTTCTTCTTCTTTTGATATTGAGCTTCAGACCATTTTTGCGCTCTCCTCTTTCACCCTCATTAAGAGGTTCTTTAATTCCTCCTCACTTTCTGCCATCAGAGTGGTATCATCTGCATATCTGAGGTTGGTGATATTTCTTCCGGCAATCTTAATTCTGATTTAGGATTCCTCCAGTCCAGCTGTTCGCATGATGTATTCTGCATATAAGTTAAATAAGCAAGGGGACACTATACAGCCTTGTCGTACTCCTTTCCCAATTTTGAACCAATCAGTTGTTCTATATCCAGTTCTAACTGTTACTTCCTGTCCCATATATAGATTTCTCAGGAGGAGGATAAGGTGGTTAGGCACTCCCATTGCTTTAAGAACTTGCCATAGTTTGTTGTGGTCCACACAGTCAAAGGCTTTTGTGTAGTCTATGAAGCAGAAGTAGATGTTTTTCTGGAACTCTCTGGCTTTCTCCATAATCCAGTGCATGTTAGCAATTTGGTTTCTAGTTCCTCTGCCCCTTCGAAATCCAGCTTGTGCTCCTGGTTGTTCTCAGTACACATACTGCTGTAGGATTTTGAGCATAACCTTTCTAGCATGTGAAATGAACATCTGTAGAGTGAAGCAAGTCTTCAGTCCCAAACAATGAAGTGTCCAGTTCCTCAGGCTCATCTTCACTGGAGGACTCCTCTGGTAAGGTCTCTGTTGAATTGATGGCAGCACCAAAATGCAAAAAATCTTCACCAATTCGATTTCTTCATTATTCAACATTAAAATTATGCAGTTCTTTAATTTTGATCATCCTAGTATTCAGCTGTAATCTTGCTTTTACACTTTTGTATTTCCTCTTCATCAGTATTTGCTAGTTTTTGCCAACAAGCGTGTTGTCATCTTCGTACCTTAAGTCACTAATATTCGCCACTTTTCACCCACCCTTCATCTGAATCTAATCCATCTTGCTATATGCAGTGTTATTCATATATAGTGGACAGATTCTGACACTTTTGCCAATTCTTTGGGAGCCTCAGGACAGAGAGACGGGGGGACCTTTAAAAGTAAAAAAAAAATTCCCACTGATTGATAACAGGGATGGTCTGGCAGCAGTTATTTATTTTTAAAGGTCCTCCCCACTGCCCTGCATCTTGAGGCTGTAAGTTAAATATTTCTAGCACCTGATCCCAATTGTGCTGGGTTACATAATAGGATTTTGCCCATAGTTTTTTATGATCCACTAAATCAAAGATTTTGCCATAATCTAGAAAGCACAAACATTTATTCAGAAATTCTGTGCTATACTATGTGATCTCTAGTGCCTCTTCCTTTTCTGAGTCTAATTTGAATGTTGTGGTTTTTTGTTTTGTTTTTTGTTTTGCTTCCTCTCTCTGCAGAGAGAGGGAAGTTTTTAATTTTCTAATTAACCCATATCATTTAAGTGGTTAAACTGTCTGTATAAATTACTAATGATGTAGGGAAATTGAAGCTTCCATTTGCCAGCTCACTGGAATTTTCCAGCAATTGCACTTACTGGAGATGAACCAAAACAGAGTGATCCTACCAACACGGAAAGAAAGCAGAAGTCTCTTATAGGGGCCAGAAAGGTGCAGACAGGAAATGTTGCAGAAAGGTTCGTCCACTATAGGAGATGGGCTGGTTCGCTCCATCAAAGAGATAATCTGATTGCTGGCTTTAGGAGCAAACCAGCCCATCCCTATGGACCAAACAGTGGGTTAAATGTAGTCACATGTAGTTACTCCCTCAGCCTGAAATAATTATACGGTTCATTGATTCTAGATTAAGTGTTCTGAGAGCAGCTTTCACCTCACTTGCCAAAATTTCAGTTTCTTTCATCAGAAGATTTTTCTTTGAAGAAATGCTGCCATTCTTGCATTTTTCTATTTTGTTCTTTTGTGTATTGTTTCTGTCTTGTCTCTATTTTATCTTGATCCCCAACCATAGGTTATCCAGGTGTTTTTGGAATGCAATTCCCCATCATCACCTGTTGTGCTGATCAGAATCTCTGGGGCTTGCAGTCCAAGAACACCTGAGTTACCCAAGGTTGAAAACCAGTCTGTTCATCTTTCAGCATCCCTAATCTTAGTTACAATTTCCCTTTGATTTATTGAATCGAATGGAAGATGGCTCTTGTTTTTCCTCTTTTGGTTGCCCTCATCTATTTCCTTGCAACTGTTAATTAATCTAGTTTGAGATCAGTATATGTGTGTATATGTATATTTGTCCTCCAAACCCAACCTCAGCAGAGAGAGAGAGAGAGACCCCACTATTTTTGCTCCCTCTCTTTCTTAGTTTTGTATATTAATTTTTAATATCCTTCTTTAGAGCTCATGGCATTTGTCTTTTTGCTCCAGATTTGTATTCAAATGTAACTAAAAATGAAAATTGCAAGTCTGCCTGGCTAATCGGTTTTCTATAATAGACCATTTCCTACTTTAGTAGGCTACTCATATCTGCTTGTTTGTTCTGCTAGTTTTACAGAACAATCATTTAGTAATTCTGATTTATTCTTCCTCTTCTGTTGTTCCTTGTGAAACTAGGGTAGGGGATTGATATAATTTGCCTTTCCCCCTTTCTACTGACCTCAGCAGAAAGTAAGCATACTGTAGTAAGAAAGCAGGAGCACAAAATGGAGTATTTGTCCAGAATTAGCTGACTTAGTTTGTTTGCTAAGCAATTAGGCTGAGTAAATGGGATGCAGGCACTTTAGTTGCCTAATGGCCAAGGTGATTTACTGAAACTTTGAACAGAGTATTCAAGGATAGTCATGGGGCCCTGGCAGCTAATCCTGGTCTTTCTTTAGCCTTCATCCTTTAGGTGTTGTTCCCCCCCCCCACTATAGAAGCTACAGAATGCACAGTATCCTGTAATAGGACTACAGTTGTCTTGAATCTTCTTATTTTATGTTATTTATTTAATGTAAGTTTCTAATATTATTGCAAGTTGCATGTTAAAACATCCAACTCAATAGAGGTTGATTTGACAGCTGAAGTCTTTAGTATCCAATGGCTAATTACCTTTTTGTATGTAATAATGTTGCTCCAAGTTTTTTTTATAGGAGAAAACACTAGAAACTAACTTTGTATTCTAAAGTCTAGAAGCCAATGCTATCTTGACTTCTCTTCAATCAGTGAAGTGAGTTAGGTGCATTCTCTGCTAGAGGTTTGTAGGTGCCTTTTCACCTGTGTTGTGTGAGCAGCATGGACCATGTTTGCTGATGGTATAGTCTTTACTGTACAACAACTTTGTTCATGCAAATACAACTGTTGAACTCCCATATGATTAGGTCACAGTTATAATCTTCATCAATATTTTTCCCAATCAGTGAAACAGACTCTTGGAAAATGGCAGAATTGAAGTAACAGAGCTAGACCAAGTTGCTCTTTGTTTTGAGAATTATTTTCTTGCTCGTCTGGATAAAACTAGCCTAACCTGTGCATATAAATTAAATGAGCATATTATGCATTTGCAACAGCATATTCAGCCCATTAATTTACATTATCTTTATGTTGTTATCAAGTGAAATATAATGCCACTTACTTTGTATACTGACTGGCTAGCTCAGTGGTTTAAGTACCTGAATGCAGAGTCAGAAGTTGGGAGCTAATTCCCCACCTTGCCTCCTGGGAGAAGAGCCAGCCTTTATAGCCTTGGGCAAACTGCAGCATCCCAGGTTGCCTCCAGAAGAAGGGAATGGTAAACCACTTCTGTGTACTCTTTACCTGTGAAACACTGAAAAAGGTTCACCATAAGTCAGAATAGACTTGAAGGCGTGCAAAAAATAAAAATAAAAAATCAGATGTGCCTTGCTATAGATAATTGTGAACAGTCTGATCTGATAAGAAAATGCTAAAATAATGCTGATCTATGCCAAATTTATATATGTAGCATCATGTACCTTTTTGAGGTAGGAGGCATTGAAATGTAATTCGCTGCTGGAGTTTTTCATGCCACAGACTCCATTCTGTAGGCCTTTTCTCTTACATTGAAAGCTGAGATTAACATATCTAGTTGGTGTTGTTCTTTATACATTCTGCATAGTTGACTGGTTCCCATTTGGCAATACAAACACAGTGGCTCAGAAATGAACTCGGGACACTTCAGATCTTACTGGGCTGTTAAAAGCTGCCTGCTATTTCACACGTACCGGACAAACTGTTGGATCCTAGAGTTGGAAGATCTTGTTCCAGCTCCTTGCTCAGTTACAGGCATTGCAATATGTGATCCAACTATAGCATCCTTGAAGACGGCAAACCTTTCAGATATTTGAAGATTGCCATCATGTTACACCTTAATTGTCTGTAGCTGAGACACATGCACCCCTCTTAACTTCTTTTAAAATATTGTGGTGTGGGGACAGGCTCTGACTTATCAGTATCTTCCTTAAAAAGAGAACTGAACACAGCATTCCAAATGCAAGCAATAGAGTGCCATATGGGAGACTATGAGCTTCCTTGGCTGCTGTTTCAACCTCCTCATTTTCATTCAGCTCCTGGTGTGTGAAGGTGCTACGTCCTTTCATATCTAGTAGTGCTACTCTAGGTCCACCCTGTTCTATACATGTGTCTTGGATGATTTTGTGAAAGCTTTTGTTTTAATCTCTCTTGAATCTCATGTAGTTGAATTTGTCCCAGTATCCCAATCTAGATCCTCCTGAAGTTCCAATCCTGTCTTCTGTGGCTGTTCCTGAGAGCTTTCTTTCATCTGCAAATGTGAGAAGTAACTGCTTTATTTTCTTAACGAGATCATTTATAAAAATATTTGAACAAGAAGAAGCTCTCCGAGGCATTAATTAGTACTCACTAAGTATGGCTGCTTAATCAGCTGTAAATCCACTTAATTGTAGTGTTATCAGAGCTGTGTTTACCATCTTGTCAATACAAGAATACTAAAGAAGGGTTGATTTCAGATGCTTTGCTGAAACTAAGATATAACTGTGCATTGTGTTCCTATGAACTACTGACAAATAACTGTCAAGAAAGGAAACAAAACTGGTCTTGCATGACATATTCCTGACAAATCTTGCCATCACCTGTCAAGAGATCTTGTGTACAAAGGCTGGAAATCTCTGCTTGAAAATCTTGGAAAGGCAATCAGTGGTGTTCTAGATAAAGCAATAAAAATTATTCACCCTAATAAAAGATTTATAAAAATAAGTCCATATCTCTTCCTCTTTAAATAGCCTTTTTTAAAACATAAGGTTATTAAATAATGTTAAAAATATAACTTTTTCTGTTTTTTATTGTGCCAGAGTGAAATTAAGAAATATTTATTAGCAGAGCATTACAAAAAATATGTTTATAAATGGCATTTTGTTTTTAATGAAATAGTGTATCTTGCAGTTCAGCATGCAGAATGCTTCTAACTCGGGAATTTCAAGGGAGAAGTTAAAGGCAGCTGAGTTCCAAAGTTATACAGCTGACTTCTCAGTAGTCTAGATATTTGCCATTTCCCCAAATGTTTGTATGTAACAATATCTGGTACTGTGTATTGAGAGACAGTGGACAGATGTTTGCCTTCACAAACTCTAAATTTACCAGCAGACAATATGGAAAGTTAGTGAAGTTGATTGTTACTGTACACACAATTGATAGGAACATAGATAAGCGCATCAATCCTAAAGTAGATCTACAGTGTTTAGATTATTAATCTAATAGACTGATTCAGTATTTTTATCCATCAGCAGATTGAAAAGATTTTAATAAAATTACAGAGTAACGACCAGTACTCCCATGCAAGAGACATTTGTCCCTCACCCTCCCCTGAGAGTGAATGCCTTTCTGAGATAGCGCCTACTATGGCACATGCAGGTTCATGTAAAAAGAGAGTCAAGGCTATTTTGTTCAGAATGATTGTGGTATTGTATGCAAATCCATGCAAATGTGATTTATTAAAATTCATAAAATTCATTGACTGATGTTTCTTTAATCAATTGATACCCTTATGTTAAACCCAATCTAGATGCTTAGGTAAGTACCAGTGAATTCAGTGGGACTTAATTATTTTAAATTCATTTTCCTCCCCTTGCATTACACAATATTATGGTGATTCTGTCTTCATTCAAGGTGTGTGAATGTTGATAAGAGACTAGAAGAAACATCTTTGTTTTAAAAATAAATTAGTTCATTAGCAACCAGTGCTTTTCCTAATCTTATTCAAGGTTTTGCATGTTTTAGACCTAAAGAATTTAATTTTTTTTCTCTGACTGTATACAGATGGTTTGCTTTTTTGTGAAACTATTTGATATTTCCATGTTGTACTAGGAAGTAAGTGTGATGGGCATGGGTGATTGATGTAGGATAAACAAGATTGCTGGTAATACTAATAACTGAGGCAGCCACAAGAGAAGGAACAGGTAGCCAGGAATTACTAGGAGGTTCCTATTTCCAAGCACAAGAGCTTTCTGTATTATAACAATTTGAGTTATGTGTCACATGCACAAGCACACACTTTTTTGTTTGTTTTTGGTAGCCTGGGACATCTCTCCCCAATGAGGTGGGGTCAGAAAGGAGAACTGCCACTCCTGGAAGCCTTCAGTGTAAAATTGCTTATTACAGATTAAGAACTGAGCAAACTAGTGTGGTTTTTTTTTGGGGGGGGGGTTGGTCTTTTCCACTAAGATTACATTATTGACTATTTCTCAGTTTATTTTTCAGGCAGTCCAATTATGGCAGAAAGATATGCAGCCCTGATTTATGTTTATATCTCCCTGCCATCACCAGTTCCAAATAATTTGTCACATCACTCTTGAACTATTTCTGATCTTTGGATGTGCCATGTGAACATACCCTGTCTGGTTAGGTGAACCTGCCAGGTAAGTCCAGCCTCCTTCTACAGCCTCTCTCAACATTACACTTATTCTGCCTAAACATGTTGTTTCCAGGAAGTGAAGAGCTGGTTCGTTTTTTCAGCTCTCGTACAAATGACACTTAGAAAGCAGAACTGAAGTAGGCAGACTGAGAGCTTGTCCTTTTACCCTACACTGATTGAAGACAGAACAAACCAAGTGATGTGCGACTAATGGAGGCAAAGCTTCTGTTACTGGATGTGCAGAGTGAAGCAGAGGAACTTGGACATTCCTGAGTAAAAGCTTTTCCTCCATTGTCTACTTGTGTACTGATGTGAGCACAAGCCATAGGGGAGGGAGCAGTGATTCTAGTGGAGGCTAGACTCTTGCTTTCAATCAAGTATGGATGAGAAATCAATATGCATTCCCTTGTTTCTATTTCTGCCAAACTACTGAGTTGTTTTACTGTGACATTCTGTTCCAAGGGCTTTGTGTCACATTAGTATGTGCTTAAGAGTAGTGGCTGTATTTGATAAGTTAAATAAAGCGTGAAGGTATCAAGGTGAAGCTTAAAGGCTCAATGGTAGAAGAGAGACCTGGCTTTCGCATAACTTAAGAAGTCTCTGGTAAGCCATGTCAGAAACTCTCTGGCTCTTCTTATTGTCCCAGGTGAAAACAACCACTTGATCTTTAGGAGAAAGCATCTTTGGTGTGCCAGGGTCTCTTTTCAATGTCTGTTCCGTGATTTCTGGTGTCTACTCTGAGTTGTAGAAGTTATGATGGCTATGGTTGTACTGGTCCTCATCCTCTCCGATGATGGGATAGTTGGGCGTGAGACAATACTTGGAGTCATAGACCTGTCGTGGCAGCCCGTACACAGTCATGCCCTGCTGCGAGGCCCCTTTGTTGCTGCCCATCTGCAGTGAAATGTTCTGGGTGTCACAATGCTCCATGCCTAGAGTGGGATCGAAAATTTGTCGCTTGGTTCCTGGAGCAGTCATGCCCGCCTGAGAATGGGTGCAGATGGGTAGTGGAGAGAGAAGAGCAGATAAGTAGGTAGTAGTTAATTTGGGAGCATAAAAGCATTGCAAAATGTCTTTAGGAGAATAAAAAACATAAAGAGTATACAAGCTTTGAGTGACACTCCTGCTTCTCCCAGTCTACTGCTCAGCATGCTGATAGGATTTTATCAGTGTTACACATGAGTGGTTCTCAACCTTTGACCTTCCAGCAACTTTTTTACCAACTTCCAGAAACTCCAGCCAGCATTGCCAATTATCAGGGATTCTGATAGTAGAAAACAGCTGGAAAGCCAAAGGTTTGGAATCACTGTTATAGGTAGCTAAAATATCTTTATCTCAGTCAAATCAGCCTTCTCTAGTATCTGTGTTTCTTTTCTTCTCTATTCTGAAGCCAAGGTGTCTGCTTTCTAATATAACACCCCCTCTAGTCTTTTTTTCTGAGTTCACTTTGATCTAGAAGTCATAACATTTCCTGGGAATTTTATTAAATTTAGAAGTAGCAGCTTTGTGGACTAGCTGTACAAGATGAGAACAAGCTAAAACTTGCTTAGTTATAGTCTTATCTTGTGATAACAGGCTCTGCCTTGCTGGAACTTGCTTTAGGCACAATTCATGTGTTTTTCAGAGGCTGGAAGCAAGCCTATTGGCTCAGAAAGAATCACAGTGTCCTTTTTTAACAGTGTTGCTGTTCATCCTAGGATAAATGATTAAGTGGATTACTGGTATTTTTGTATGGCGCCTAAAACAAGCTGCATGAAAGTGCTTATGTCAATGGTATTACTGACTGCTCCATGAGACAGAATACCTGAAACCCACAGGAATACCTTGCTCATGTAAACATGCAGTTATATATTAATAAGTCCTAAAGTGGTAACGTAAATAGCTGTTTCTTTCAGAAACCAACTCTTCTGTAATTTTAGTTATGTTTCTGACATTTCTTAGGGACACCTGCCTGCTCCTTTTTTCTTTACGAGAACTGCATTCTAACAGAAGCAATGTGTTTACACCTTCAGTAGGGGAATTTACAGTAATCAATAGACTTCTGGTATTCTCTTTGAAGGGCTTGAAGAGGCATAGACGACAGAACACAGCTACATTCCCTGCCTTGCTCTTTTTTTAAAAACTAAAATAAGGGAGCCCATCTATGAAAAATATACAACTGGGATATCTTATATATATTTATATATTTATTTGATTTATATGCCCTCCCTTTAGTGCAAACACTACTCTGCAAGCATTGTCAGGCCTGTCTCCCTCAGAAGCTTCACATGATCTTATTTTCATTAAACACCTGTCTTCCCGGAACTGAAGCATTAAATATTCCAGCTCAGTTACAGTACATACATTTTTCTCCCATTCTCTTTTTTTACCTGGCTAGCTCCCTTGTTGGTTCCCATCTGTAGGCTGATTGTAGCTTGATCTATGGGTTGTTCCGTGCCCAACTTAGGGTCATAGAGATGCCGACGTGTGCCGTATGCTGTCATTCCCTGCTGGCTGGCAAATTTGTTGGTTCCCATCTAAGAAGAACATAGTGTTGAAAATTAGTCAGGTTATTTCCTTTTGGAGAGTCTCTGTCTGGGAAAAAAATACCATAAAACTGCGCATACGTGGAAGATTCCTACTGTATTTTGCCACTTGGGACTCTTCCATATTCTACATCCCATTTCTGTTATACATTTTAGCCATAGTTAGGATGTGCTGGTATATCTGTGGATGTTTTCAGGCTGAGGGAGATGTCAAAGTGTGCTGGGGAACACATTTAACAAAAACCAATAGATTAAAAGTGTCAGAAAAGACAATTTAAAATGTACTTCAGGGGTGGTGCATTAACTGAAATGCGATGTTACAGTCCTGTGTCTGCTTCACTGACACAACTGGTTACCGTATCATAATCTCTTGCCAATAAAATTTGCTTTAAAACATTAATGCTGGGGAAAGTTGAGGGCAGCAGGAAATGAGGAAGACTAAATATGAGACAGATTGATTTCCACAGCCTTGCATTTATAAGAACTCAGCACGGCTGTTGACAACAGGAGATTATGTAAATCACTCGTTTACTTTATAGGATTGCCGTAAGTTGTAGGCAACTCAATTTTATGTAATAACAACTTGGCTCTTTACTAGCACTCTCCTTCTTTTCACATGAGCTTTATTTTGCTTGGGTATGATAAATGGGACTTTTAAAGCTAGTTGATATTAAATAATATTTGCTGTGGAATGTGACACACACTGTGTATTGGGATGGGGGAGCAGTCATCCGTACTGCAGTGGCACAGTGTTGTAGTTAAGGTTTTTTTAAGTGACATACGTTTGGAACTCCTCCCAAGATAAACAAATAGATGCTCAGGTTCCTTAACATAAATGCAGAGACAGATTCTTGTGGTGAGAACTTGATACTGTAAAAACCCCTTCATTTTAATCTGCCATGGCCTACAGCGCATATTCTCTGTGTGTGTGTATGTACTGCTGCTATGAGTTGTTTCTTTCCCTGTAGCATGAATCACTGTATCTATGTTTACATATTTTTAGATAAAGCTAATATCATTCAGTGCCTCTGAGTGGCAGGGCATTGTCCAAAGTCTTCTCATAGTAAGGAGCCCTGCCTTGTTGAAAAGCTCGTCTGGGTATACTGAATTTAGTGAAATATTTTCATCCCAACCCTCCTGCTGTGCTTCTGGCTGCAGCAGCTCTTCTGCAAAGATTGCTTTGACTACACAACCTCCTCCCATGATGGCCATGTGGGAACTCAAGCATGGTAGCCCAACTTTTGCCACCAGTGTTAGAAATTCTGCTTGCTGCCATAAAATGTTTTCAACCCCTTTTCTTGGGAGAAATTCCCACCACAGAACAGCTCAGAAGTAACGTACCTGTAGCCCAATGATATTCCGTCCTTCTTTCAGCTTTTCAGGCATGAATTTGCGTTGTTGTTTCTCAGCATATTTCACCCCTATGTTCACCTTGTTGCCCTTTGTCTTGGCCTGTTCAGGGACAAGAGGCAGGAGTTCTTCAGATTTTGCCCTTGTTCTGTGCTAACTTGGGCATGGTAAAATGGTTCTTTCACCACAATCTCCTCCATATAATGGAGCTTGGCTCTTACTTTCTCTGGTGGAGAATCTCTTGAATTGCCAAGGATAAGCAGGGTCCTATTACTCTGCAATCAAGTTAAGAATAGCATGGGGTTTTCTACTCAAACCTGTAGGGCTTGCTGTGCTCAGAATTGGGGACAGATAGGCAGGGATCAATTCTGAACTTTGAAAATGTTTTTCTTAAAATGAGAGGTCTCATCTCTCCGAAGAATCCCTCCGACTTAACAAACTTTGCCTCCTATAAGTGGTTGGGAAGAAGCTACGGTTACTGAGTGGCTAGTTAGGCTGCTCAGAGTAATCTTAAGTACTTCCATTTTCCCAAGCTTATTGTTGACCTTTGTTACGTATTAGTGAAGACAAATTTACGGTGAAGCTGTTAGAGACATTGTCCTGCATACTAAAATGTGACTTCCCTCTGTGTGCTAGTTATGAAGGGAGAAAACTGGGTTTGTCCTTTAGGGAAAAGAAATGAGGACTAGGAACACACAAAACAGACCATTGGAAATTAGAAGATTCCAGTGCCCAGCATATGGAATGTAAGGCTACTGCCGGAGGATGGGTTAGTGTGCGCTGCCAAACCCGAGTTGAATTAGGGCTGGAAAGCTGTAGCAGTAGAGAGTGTGAACTATTAGACAACATCTAGGCAATGAATTCTTCAAGTAGTTGTGAGCAGCCTGCAAATCTGAATATCAGTTCCTAGTTACTAATCTTTTTAAATTAAATGGATATTGTGGCTTTTCTCCAGTGAGCTCAAGGTGGCGTACATGGCTCTCCTTCCCATTCTATTTTCCCAACCATTTCATGAACTAACTCAGACCGAAAGAGAGTAACTACCCTACCCTGGTCACCCAAGGATTTTCATGGTTCATGTGATATCCTAATCCCAGTCTCATGCTCCAACCATTGCAATTTGCAATCTGTGGATAAAGCTAGCTAGATTGGAAGAGACCTGTTTCTTAACCACTTTCCCTGTTCTCCCACAAGGAACATGCAAATTATTTAAAATGTTACAGTTTCACTGGCACTGCAAAGCTTTGTTAAAAAACTGTTCAGTAATCAAAAACTGCTGAATAAAGTAAGCTGTTACTCACCATACTGGCAAGAGCAATCAAAGTAGTCTGCACCTGGGTATGGTTTGTGTTCTCAAAAAGGTCATTAGCTTCAAAGATGTCATGGGGCTTCACTCCATATTTTGTGATGGCCTTAATGAAGTTGCCAATGTTCTCCAACTGCAAAACACAAATGGTCAATGAACCATCTGTTGAGCCTCTTCGTACCCTACCTCCATCAACTTACCAGTCACTGATCCAGAAGGGTATGGCTTCCTTCTACAATTATTGACTATCAAGTGGACAGTGGTGTTTAAAGGTCTAGTGATTGTACTCTTAAAGGGCAGTTTTAAAATAAGGGAAAAGAATGACTGAAAAGAAGTGGACATCAGCAAAGTTGACAGGAAGATTGCATCAGGAAATTTGTGCATGTTTATACCAGCCAGTGGCATGGCTGGTATAAACATGCTTGAATTGACACTGGTTATGAGAGCCAGAGGTCTACTCCTGGTGGTGGCTGAGATCTGGCACCAGTAGTGACAGAGCTGCAATGTGTGAAAAGGAGGGTGATCTTTGTTGTATTTTGGGGGGAAATGTCTAAGGAGAGTAGACAGTTACTGCCAAAACCACTGAACTCTGATGCAGTGGAAGGAAGGGGACCTAACTTTTTCCTCACCTGCCTCTTCTATATGTCAAATGCACCTTCCTCCCTGTCTAGAAATCCTTTTTCTTCCAGGGTTTCATTGCACATGTTTGCTGTGTAGGCCTTGATCAAGTATGCAGAGCTAGTTCATCATCTGACTTTGAGGCCAGGATGGCTGCTGTTGGGGCCTCTGTTCATGAGTGCTTTATTGTGCACATACAGCGCACCTTCCTTCTGAAGCTGCAGTTCTGGTACAAAAATATCACATCTCTTAGGACACAAAGCAGTAAACCGAACACATGTTAGCATTTGATCTGGACAGAGTGTTTGTCACTGTTGATGTAATTGTGTAGGGCAGGGAGTGTGCTTCAGCCCAGATATCTTCTTGTGAACTTTCCTTCTTTGATTGTGGTGCCTGGTTGTGCAATTTCATCAGCAGAATAGAATGAGAGACAATGTGTGGAAGTTTACATTGTGTCATATCAGTGAAGAGGAGCATAATTTCTTCCTGCTATACTCTTATAATATTGGCCTTTCATTATTCCAACTTTTAAAAAAGATTGTGCTAGAGTGGCATTTGAGGTTATGTTGCACTGCAGTTCCCAGGCTCCCCAACTGCATTGACTTATTGGCAAGACTGTGAGAGTTGTAGTCTAGAAAATAAATTTCCCCAGCTTATTGATTCCCCAGCTGTTATTGATTAAAAGTAGAGGGACTGACTATTTGCACATCTGACTCCCACAAAGATGTATCGCAGGAACAAGGCTTGCTAGAATAATGAACAAAGGGCAAAATGTATTTGAGGCTTGTTGGGCTGGAGAACAAAGTTTTTGGCCGGGTGTTTCCCTATGTAAATAACCACTTCACACTTTCCAGAAGTAGCAGTGTGCACTTTCTGAGGTTTGCAGTTTGTTTGGTAATGGAAAAAAAATCAAGAAGTCAATGTACACATTTGAAAATACATATCACTTAAAAATGCATACACTGGACAAATGCAGAAAAAACAGGCTTTTGTCAGTAAGGGCCTTTCGCAGAAGATGTGTACATTGCGGAGCGACACACTACAATCTGTAAATTTCCATTGAAGAAGAAAGAATTACAGTCCCTAAATATAGGACTGAATCCTTGTTTGCTAGCTCTTACAGAGGTTTGTTGCATTCTTGTGGGAGATAAAGCTGCTTTTTATAGAAAAAGCTTGCTTTGTGACTTGGGTTTCTAGACCATAACTTAGTCTATTGACATCCCAGTTTTCTAATGGAATGGGTTCCTACCCTGTATCAAAGGGAGGGTTTGGAAAAGATAGTGTTGTGGGAGACAGAATTCACCTGGTGCCAGTTCTGGGTGGACTCATTCACCTTCTTCACAGATCCTGGTTGGAGTTTGTTTATAAGGCTGAAAGAGAAATTGGGGAAAGCAGTCTTATGCACAGCACAACAAAGGAGGCACTTTGTGTATCATGTTTTTCTGAAATGAAGCTTTGACTTCCCACTCTGCTACTGTCTTGACATAACAACACACTGTAATACACAAGTGCATGATTTCTCCTCTAACATGATGAAAATGTGGGTAGAATTCTGACAAATGAAAAGAAAACAAGACTATTACATTTTCACATGCTTAATTGAGCTACCCTGTATCAAAGGGAGGGTTTGGAAAAGATAGTGTTGTGGGAGACAGAATTCACCTGGTGCCAGTTCTGGGTGGACTCATTCACCTTCTTCACAGATCCTGGTTGGAGTTTGTTTATAAGGCTGAAAGAGAAATTGGGGAAAGCAGTCTTATGCACAGCACAACAAAGGAGGCACTTTGTGTATCATGTTTTTCTGAAATGAAGCTTTGACTTCCCACTCTGCTACTGTCTTGACATAACAACACACTGTAATACACAAGTGCATGATTTCTCCTCTGTAGAGGTAATCTCCATGTATATTTAAAAGCAGTTATGAAATATAGTAATCATAGGTGGGAATAGAATAGTCAGCAGGTGGGTGTTTGTATTTTTACAGTCACAGTTGCTTTTCCATCATTTATAAAGAGCCCGAGGATACTTTACATACCTTTGTTTGAAACAACCAAAATGTTTAAAACACATCATTTGTCAAACAGCCAGGAATCACACATTTAATGGTTCTACAATTGCTCCTCACTCAACACTCTGCCAAAAAGGAAACTGTTTGCAATGCTGCATGGGATACTGTCTTCATTTCTGGTTAAGCAATGTACAGGGTTAAAAAAACTGAATAATTTTTTAAGGTAGTTTTTACAAAATACCAAAGGAATGAAGAAGCAAATATGGATGAGACCTAGGAGAAGAATTGTCCATTTATAATTTACTAGGAAAAGTGGATACATTACATAGTGACATCAAGAAAAACCGGGGGGGGGAATGCCAGACAGAAACAAGAACATGGTACGTAGAGGTTATTTTTATGCTCTAACCATGGGTTCAGTGTTAACATAATTGTTTTCTGATTGTTGTGGGTTTATCAAAGTTCTGAAACCAATGACAGCATGAATAGCTTGTTTAGTCTCTGTGACGTAAAAAAAACAGGGGGGGGGGAATGCCAGACAGAAACAAGAACATGGTATGTAGGGATTATTTTTATGTTCTAAACATGGGTTCAGTGTTAACATAATTGTTTTCTGGTTGTTGTGGGTTTATCATAAAGTTTTGAAACCAATGACAGCATGAATAGCTCGTTTAGTCTCTGTGACGTTTTATCTTAGGCCAGGAAGTATAAATTTTGGCTATGTTTTCTATCTTTTGTATGTTTTTTTAAAAAAATCAGAATAATAAAATGAATAGATAAAGTAGTCGAAAGAAAGGCAGCACAGAGTCTGCTTTTCTGCCACTTGGCCGGAATGGTGCCAGTTTCCAGAATGTTTCATGTAGAAGTCATAATGGCAAATTACCTGCCTGAAAGTTTTGCAGAAAGCAGTTCTTATGTTGAAAGCCATTTGTGATTCAGTGGTGCCTCGCAAGACGAAAGTAATTTGTCCAACAAGTAGCGCTGTCTTGCAAAATTTTCATCTTGTTTCAAATGATCTTCTGGAACCCCCTCCCCATTTTACTTGGGCCATCCCTTTCTAGTGCTTGACGGGGCATGAATGAGAGATGGTTCTGCGTTCAGTTTCCAGAATGTTTCATGTAGAAGTCAGAATGGCGAACTGCCTGCCTGAAAGTTTTGCAGAAAGCAGCAGTTCTTGTGTTGAAAGCCATTTGTGATACAGTGATGCCTTGCAAGATGAAAGTAATTTGTTTAGCGAGTAGTGCTGTCTTGCAAAATTTTCATCTTGCGAAAAGCGGTTTCCCATAGGAATGCATTGCAATGCATTCCTATGGGAAACCTCGCAAGACAAATGAAGTATTTTCATCTTGCAAGGCATCGGTCTTGAGGAAAAAACACGTCTTGCAAAGCACAGCCAAAGAAGAAGCTATCTTGCAAGGCACCACAGCGATCGCAAAATGCTTTCGTCTTGCGAGTTTTTCATCCGGCGAGGCGTTCGTCTTGCGAGGCACCTCTGTATTTTTCACTCCATAGTGTATGTGTGATGTGTATGCATTGCTTGGCAATCAGGCTATCAGCATACAATTTCGCATACTGTGTAGTTGTTCTTGTTTGTCCTTAACAAACTCGGGAGTGTTAGTATTTGGGACTTCAGTTTCCAGAAACCCCTAACTGGCATGGTCAGTAACTATGTTGGCTCTGGACATCTTGGACCTGTGGTCCTAAAAAAGTAATTTTTCCAGGTTCTGCTCACTAGCCACCTTCAACAGTTTCTTTTGAACCAAGGAAGGCAGGTTGAGTGGAGTCAGCAGCACATAGGCTGGAGCCAGAGGGATTGGTAGAAGCAGCTGGAGGGGTTGCATCTGGCTCTACCTTCCCTGGAAAAGCATTGCCATCTTCCATAGGAGGCCCAAGCTTGAGCTTAGCCCAGGCCAAAGGAGTACATTTTTGCTTTTAAGCTTGCTCTGCAAGATGCAGTCTCCCCACCGCACTGAGATAATGAACTGATTTGAAATTGGAATTTAGTAACTGAAGGATCAGGACTTCTGCAGCACCCTACTCTAGAATTCACAATTGAGGGTAGGCCTTGCTTGAAGTTCAAATCAGGATGACATCTACATGCATACTTTAAGACATGAAGGCACAATCCTTTTCTTGAAGTGCACCAGTTCCATTTCTTGATAAATTATGCTCTGTGATTTAGATCAGCTATCTTTCATGTCCTACTGGAGTCTTCAAAACTACCATTCATGACAGGCCACCTGTAATTTAGGATAAGAACGAGGAGTCGTGTCCGACTCTTCGTGACGCCATGGACCAGAGCACACCAGGCCCTCCTGTCTTCCACTGCCTCCCAGAGTTTGGTCAAATTCATGTTAGTAGCTTTGATGACACTGTCCAGCCATCTCATCCTGTGCCGTCCCCTTGCCATAGTTTGCTGTGGTCCACACAGTCAAAGGCTTTTGCGTAGTCAGTGAAGCAGAAGTAGATGTTTTTCTGGAACTCTCTGGCTTTCTCCATAACCCAGCACATGCTAGCAATTTGGTCTCTAGTTCCTCTGCCCCTTCAAAATCCGGCTTGTACTTCTGGGAGTTCTCGGTCCACATACTGCTGAAGCCTACCTTGTAGGATTTTTAGCATAACCTTGCTAGCGTGTGAAATGAGTGCAGTTGTACAGTAGTTGGAGCATTCTTTGGCACTGCCCTTCTTTGGGATTGGGATGAAGACAGATTTTTCCAATCCTCTGGCCACTGCTGAGTTTTCCAAACTCACTGGCATACTGAGTGTAGCACCTTAACAGCATCCTCTTTTAAGATTTTAAATAGTTCAACTGGAATGCCATCACCTCCACTGGCCTTGTTTGCCATGCTTTCTAAGGCCCACTTGACTTCACTCTCCAGGATGTCTGGCTCAAGGTCAGCAACCACACTATCTGGGTTGTCCAGGACATCCAGATCTTTCTGATATAATTCTTTTGTGTATTTTTGCCACCTCTTCTTGATGTCTCCTGCTTCTGTGAGGTCCCTACAATTTTTGTCCTTTATCATGTCCATCTTTGCACTTAAGCGTTAAAAACATTTGATTTGGCCTTGCAATTTGTCTTGTAACAAAACAAGCAAAATGTCTACTTCCTGTTTCAAATGATCTTCTGGAACCCCCCTCCCCATTTTACTCGGGCCATCCCTTTCTAGTGCTTGACAGGGCATGAATGAGAGATGGTTGTGGTTATCAGGACACAAATCTCCCCCTAACTCCCATGGTTACTTACTCGCACAAGATGACTCCGTCTTTCAAACTTTCCATGAAACTTTCTCCAATCCGCCTCCCCGTCACTTCCTCTATCCATTTCCGCAGTTCCTGCTCCGTCTGGGGATCATACTTCTGTGCTAGCTGTAGAGAAGAATTGATTAATTTGGAATTAGTCTGCACAGTCAACAGTGGCTAGTGTAAGGGTTGAGAACCACAGGTCACAGAGCTGAATCTGATCTTGCTAGCATTGTTTGGCAGCCTGAGGTTCCCCAGATAGCCATGCCTTCTGTTCCATTATACAATTTGTAATGGCTGCTTAGATTTTGTATGTCCCCACTCCCCTTCTGAAAGACTGCAGTCCATTTCTTAAGCTCACTTACTGGCAGTGGGGTAAAAGTAAACTAGGAATTGCAGGTGCTTTTCATGGCAGTACCTAGAGG